AAAGCTCTTTTATACAATAACACACGCACCCCACGCACATGTATTTTAAGGTTTCTTTGCCTGGCTGCCAAAAGAGCATGTTTCAGCATTATTTCATTACTTACATTACTCATGCTTCTTGTGCAAACAACTAAATTGCGTACACAACTTTACATCAGTTATCATAACTTCAACTATCTAATTTGCGCCGCTCTCGTGATTCGTGAAGCATAATAAAGGGCATAATATAAGGGCATAATACCAGAAAAAAGGGCATAATTCTCGTGATCGCTTCGATTGAAACCTGACCAATATTCCGGTAACGAGACATTGCCTGTGATCACTGATCATGTTTCTATATGAACGATTTCGTGTGAGCTGTGAGGTAGCAAATACGGTTAGGCAAAATAGTCTGTAATTTAATATATGTCGCCAATGCGCTTAGTCTGTTTTATACTGTAGCCTATAAACACGTCTTTTCTTGGCGGAAGTAACCATATTTTTTCGAGAATGCGTTTTTTCCGACCCACTTTCAAAATTCGGCGCCCCTTTTTCATTTTTGCGCCCCCCAAGAATTGCCAGCTGGGGGGGCCGTGGCCCCCCGGCCCCCCCTGCCAGCACGCCACTGTTCCGAAGTTGACAAGTCTCTCTTTCTCGCTCCGCCTCTCCGTGCTACGTCATGTAATGTACACTATAGTGGATCGATACTATATGACAATGAAAGAGAGATTTGGAGCAAGTCTACACTCTGTTGGACTCGGGTTTGTTAAGAAATGCTTTAGGAAATTAGGTAACCCTTAGTTGATTACAGAATTAATGAACATAGAATAATTACAGAACACCATGTGTCAGAGGGAGAAAGAGAGCAAGCTTGAAGTTGATTGACTTGATTCTCCAAACTTCACACACTGTCTTCGGTCAATATATCTTCCCTTGTATCATGATTTAATGACTTTCGGTTGCAATTGACAGGTCAGGTTTTATGCAGCGCTTAAATAAATAAGTCTTCTTTAGTTATTTATCATGTTTTTATCAGCAGTAGTCCTGTCTCACGAACTACTTTTTATAAAGTGTGTTCGGAGGAGCGGCACTGTGCCATAATGCATTTGTTGTGAGTCTGGTATTCACAACAATTACAACGGTAAGGAGACCAGAACTAGGGATCCAAGGAGAGTGTGAAGTTTCAAATTTAAAAAGACACTGCACGAACTATATAGGGTCGCCGACAACCAAGAAAAACTTGATGGCTTACAGTACGAAATAAACAGTTACCAAAGGCATTTCATCTCATTACTTATTGCTTTTAATACGCTCGGCACACGAGTAGCGCGACGTTTGAAACAAGCCTAACACATCAGAAACGTGCCTTGTGAAACTGATGCACAATTCTATTTATTGTGTCACCAACAACCAAATTTTGCATATTCTAAATTTTCATTTGCATTTGCAGCTGTCGCTGAAAGCATCCCCACGAGGCTACTGCTATGCTAAATTTATCTAATAAACTATAATTGAAATAGCTGTATAAGATATGTTATGAATAATAAGCACTACGTCGTTACATCATTAAAAGACGCATTTTATCCTCATCCGTTCCGTATTTTATCCGCATATCCGTTCCGTGGATCCGCTCCATCCGCTTCCGCATTTTAACTTAATTGTGACATGTTTCACAATAACAAGTTTCATTGACCTTTGACTTTTCCCAGTGTGACGTGTGTCTATTTTCAGCTTTTCGGATGTGTTGAATATAAATATCACTTTAGATTTCAATAGTTTCACAGTTATAGCAGTGTTTAAAGCATTTTTGACAAGCTTTGATACAGTTCTGTGTACGGAATACTACAGATTAATTCTCGTAAGATCTGGTAGAGTTATCGTTGCACTGAATACGAGTTTGCACCGTTGACAACGGCGTTGTGCTAGACACTAGACAGTAAACAAAGACAAGGACCGTGAATGTACACGTTGGCTACATGTACCTCCTTGCTTTTTTCTTCTATTGCATAAAGCTTGTTGGCGAGCCAATTAAGCGATTAGCGATAACACGTTGGCGATAACACCTAAACACATTGGCTATCTCCTCGTCTTTCTTATTTATACAAGGAGCTCTGACTCAACTGATCGACTTCCTTTAGTCTCGTAAGTTTTTTTCTTCGTAATCGCCGTACAAACGTTTACCCGCTTCTGTTTAATAGTTGTTTATGCTTTATTGATCTGATACAAATCTGATGCAATTTTTCGCTCTTTGTACTGAGTATAGCCATCTATTCTGTGATGTAGCACCTTATACAGTCAATGAGAATGTATAATGAATACACGGTCTAAATAATATCGGCGGTATTAATGCATAACATCAATTTATATATTGTATTACTATTATTGCGTAGAATCTCAAAGATTTTCTCAATATTCATGTCTGAAATGTTTATATACTTGAAAACAACACTGTCTCGCTTCTGCCTGCACGTACTGTACCTCTGTATAATGAGAATACCGTGAAAATAATATCGGCACTCAATTGAATGCCTAGAATCAAGATATTCGACTCAATATTTACGTCTGAAATGTTTACACACTTGACTGCACTGTCTAGGCGGTCTAGCTCCTTCCTAGCTCTGTATAATGATTATACCGTCTAAATATTATCGGCATTTAATTGAACGCCCGTAATGCATAAGATCAATTTATATACTGCGTAGATTTTCAAAGATTTACTCAATATTCACGTCTGAAATCTTTATACATCTGAAAACAACACTGTCACCCCTTCCTAGCATATCGTCACGCCATTGTGATCTACGGCTTGATAGCGCATGCGCATTTGCGCTACTAAAGAAAAAATCGTGTGTTCCGGGGTAAAGATCCTTACACAACATGAGAAGCGAATGTTCTAAAATTTACAAAAAATTACAATAACGAAAGCGATTCCTCGAAATTTTTGTGAACTTGGCAAAAGGATAACAGAATATGTAAATAAGTTAACTGAAATTGCCTAAATAACCTTCAAAGTACTGACTAAGTACAATAAATCACTACGAACATAAATCGTATACACCCCCCGGAAAGTTTACTCTATGACTGACTGACTGACTGACTGACTGTTTGACTGATTCGTGTGAATTCGCCAGCCATCACAATAGTGTGAAGTGAAACTTCACACTAAAAACGATTAAAAGTATTTCAATATAGACTTTGGGGCAATGCTCCCACGCTTACGTGCCTATTTTTAATATCTTGCTGATGCCACACAATAACAGGAAAAGAAACTTGTCAACTAATTTGAATCTTTATTGTTTCATCCTGCTAAAGTATCAGATTATTTATGTGTCATGACATCTTGTGACAGAATATATAAGTATATGCGGATAGTAAGATACTCATATTTCAATCTAATTTTTTGCTGTCAGGTTTTGGTGAATATAATAAAAGAAAATATCAGCTTTGTACCTGGTATGAGGAATTACAGCGGCTTTTAAGTTTTATTCACTATAAGGAACGATATTTTTCATGCATGGTATGAGCTGATCCTCCTCTATAAGCGTTTATATCAAAGGAAGTTGAAATATTGGGAGAAAATTAACAGATTTGTGCAGCGCAGTTGAGGAAATGCCAGAAAGGCAATGATTACGATACCTTTAGTTATATTATATGCACTTGTCTGGGGCTTCGGTTTCACCTCTAAGATTGTGGGTTTGATTTCAGCTATAGATTTATGTGAAAATGCATGGTCAGTCAACGCTCTGTCGAAAGTCGTGGGTTTTTTCTGGGTTCGAAATTTATGGTATCGGCATATGAAGTAACAATTCATTTATAATGTTTGTTAAGTGTGAAAACAAAATAAGATTTATTGTGACCCAGTCTGCAAAGGCATGCGGAAATATGGACATACTGTACACATAATCATAATCATAATGAAAAGGTATATGTTCTGTTGAATTACTGACTTAAGTATATCCACGTATAGGCCGGCTAATTTTGACACTGACTGATGTACGATACCAAGTTAAAATCACAATACAAGCAATAGATTTTTAATGGTTTTATTCGACGCATCGCGTTATGTGAAACGTTTCGACGGCCAAAATAGGCTGGCGAGTGTGATGATCTCCAACTGGATTTTATCGCCATGCAATAAATTGATCACTTAGAACAATCACATGCAGTTTAGACTTAGCCTTATTTTGAACATATACTTAAGAAAGTTGAAATTGGCGAAACTGACCTGAATTTATGATCAGACCAACCATAAAAATACCTCATAATACAATATAACTTTTGAGAAAAAACAACATTATACGTTCTCAACATACTGTTAACGTTGATTCAAGCGGAACTCGCATATTCGGCAGCGCTGAAGCTCTACCAATTGCACTATCGAGTCAAAGGGAAACAGCACAAGTGCAAATCCATATTCAAGCGCACGACTATAGAGATTCTAGCGACTTATCAACTTAAATAATATTTTGACAATGGTAGCAGTATTTTATATCTATTTTCGAGCCATCAGTATCGACAGAATAATGTTTATTTCATAATTCGCTATAATATCTCGTGAACGTAAATATCGATTTGAACTCGTGCTCTTCCCAGTTGACTCGATAGCTCAATTGGTAGAGAGTCAGCGCGCGGTTCACGGTGAATGTGCGAATTCAAAACCCTCTTGAGTGAACCGCTTTATGTAATTGACAATGCTGTGCGGCTGAACTCTGAAATATAGAGTAGAACACTTCAATATGATCAACATTCCAATTCTAGATCTAGCGATTAAAATACAGTGAGATTCCAGGTCCATAAAAGAATGCAATGAAGTTTAATTGGCTTTTCTACTTCTTAAATGTAAAATTCCATTTGCGGCCATGTTCTGTGAACGAAGACAGTCATATATTTATTTATTTATTTTTTATTTATTAAACTTTGCCAAAAACACTTAACAGAACAGCAAATAGACATCTAGACAATAAACATGGACAAAAATTGCAGGGACACCACAACAGTGTAAACCAATTACTGTGGGCCCTTATACACAGGCCCTGAGCTACGGGGGGGTGTGGGGGGGTGTGACACCCCCCAGTAATTGTAATCAGTCGGCAGGAGTGCTATTCAGTCGGTAGGACTGCTATTCAGTCGGTAGAACTGCTATTTGGGTTAAATATTTTTGGCGCAAAGGGCAAGAACGTGGTGGGAATTTTAGAAAAATTTTGAGGAAAAATGTAAAAATTTTGGAAAAATGTAAAAAAATGTTGAAAAATTGCTATGTGCGGAAAATTTTTGAATGTTCTGGAAAATTTTTGAATGTTCCGGAAAATTTTTGTACGTCCGGAAAAATTTTTGGACCCCTAAAATGGTACACTGACCGAAATTTTTTTGTTCCTGAGGACGGCCCTGCTTATACAAAAATATACATACAGTACAGTACATATAACATACAGTACATGGACAGGAGACTAAAAACAACAAGTTAGTTCAGAACGTAGGTAACGACTAGTATTACACTTCAGACATATAGTCTTCCATGTCTTCGGATCTTCTTCGTTGAAGCATTCTCTCAGGGCTGTCAGGTAGTAAGTTTGTAAATCGGTTTTGAATTGCCTATATTAATGTCAGGAGATCTTAGTGTAGTTGGTAAAGAGTTCCAAGTTCTGGATGCACGAATAAAGAAGGAGCGTTGGTAGGTAGAGGTTTTGCATTTGGCCGGACGGAAGGAGATTTGGTTGCCACTGGAGGTTGCCATATTAGGACAGTTATAAAATTATTTATGCCGCATGAGGCATGGTTGGATAATGGCAATTCTAGAAAAGTTTGCTAATCTAAATGTCCATCTAGGGTGGGTTAGAAATCATGGAGATCATATTTAATAATTAGTAATTCTCGTTTTATAACAATTTTGGCCAAATGCGGTAAAGTGATCAATTTCCCACGTTATTAGAGTTGGCATTTATTATCCGGGAGGTGTTTGCATTAAACCATTTCTAGTTGTATAGATTTTCTTCAAGTCTCTTTTTTCTCACAGAAAAAGACTTAGAGGCAATTAGTCTAGTGCGAACTGTGCTGGGTAGTATAGCAGACAAGACTGAACGACATTTTTAGTATTTTTATAAAATATGAAAAGAGATCGAAATGGTTACTAAAACACTAAATTAAGCTATGACATATCGTCTGGGTTTTTCTCTGATACTCAAATAATCGATGTCCGTGTCGTTCCTATATGCAATATAATATATCAGCTTTTTTGTAGAGGTATGCGGAAGTAGAAACTTAGTGATATTTATATAGTTATGCTGTATCAGTAAAAGATTTGCATATGCAAGAGTGTCGCTATAGACAACACTGAACACTCAGTGTCCATGGTCTTGCTATAAAATGTGTAAAATATAAATGAAATTTGAATAGAAATCACATACGAAGTTTGTCTAATTCCTTCCAAATTGAAGGAAATAAAGAAAATGAGTTATTACCCAACGACGATGGGACCAAAATTGTCTGAAAGCAGCCGATTACTTCCGCCGACGGCAGGTTTGTGTGAATTATATTTAACCATACGGGAAAATTTCGGCTTTAAAGCAGCTTTAAATCGAGCTAAAGGCTAGCTAGAATTCCGTCGCGTGTTCGTGTGATTACACCAATACTTCACAGATCCCAATATCGCATTAGGTTTCAGCCTTTCGGAAATGAATTGTTCCAGAGTGTGATATGTATAGTTGTTATATCAAAGTCTGAGTCATACAATCTTGAACCACGTTCTTGACTGGTTTTGAAATCAATCGCGTGGAACGTTATACAGTACATGCAAACAAATATTAACGATTTTTCGATCTGTCTTGCATTTCAGCTAAATTAAATCTTATATTATAGAGACTGTAAAGGAGCACTACGTCATGGTACTGTCCATAACGGAAACATATATAATTGTATCGCTTGACAATCTATCTATCTTATATATCGATTATCTTATGCTGTAAGATCATTATTTATACTAAACAAGACGCGTTAGTCATTAGTCGCTTGGGCTTTTACATGAGCATTGATCTGCCTTTCCTTTACTTTAATATGTCTTCTTATGGAGTTGTTTTATTTGTGAACGTTAGACTTAATATCTGCAGCTTTGTTAGAGGTTGAGAAACAATCGGTACAATGTTTACGATGTTACTCTAGCTGAGTGTGCATCTACACCGGGCAAGCTGAAAAGTTAGCTTGGCGACGGTGGGAATCGAACCCGCGACATTTGGGATACCAGTTCAATGCTCTGCCAGATTATATATACATATTCGCATGTTTTGCAGCTCCATATTTGCAAACGGAAGTTAATGCGACCGCAGTCATGTACCACGATGTAGGAGCTCTGCATTAATTAATGTTCTCATTTGAAACCAATGTTTATTGTATCACACGTAATTTTGAATGCGGAAAAACAAACCTCGAGATGGAGTGGCACCTGAAAATGAGTGTTTCGGGTATTCTCAAATTGTATTTGATTGGTATAACCCAAATTAAGCTTTGCTATTTACAAATTTACGTTCACTAGACAACACGCGTGGCTAAGGCATTTTAATATTAATTGATTTGTATATTCCAACATTAACTATGAGGTTACAAAATAATTTAGATGCATACGCGGATGTGAAGTTCAAGGATCTTTACCCTGGCAAAATATTTTACAAAAAGCAATACAGATATAATAATATGACTAGACAATTGGTTGTCAATGACGAAAATAGATGGATCAACATGGAAGCAACGACAATTAATTGTCAACTGTACAGGATATATGGCTGGGTAAAACGAGAACAAACGGCAGCCCTGAAAAAGAAAGATAAAAATGGAGAAGTTGCTATAAGAAATCAAGACACCGGGGAAATATTAAATCTTATAAAAGATAAGGATACGCCGACTCCAATTCAAAATGGTTTTTTGGTGAGTGCTGGTACTGCCTGCGAGCGGTAACCTAAAAAAACAGGGAATATTTAACAATTATTCGCCGAAGGCGAAGTGATTAGTTTACCGGTGAATATTTACCGAGACGAAGTCGAGGTGAATATTCACCGTAATCACTGAGCCTGAGGCGAATAATTGTTTTATAGTATAAATTTTTGATGAATAAAACAAAATATCCAAATATCAGTTCAATTAAATTTCAGAAATAAAATTGTTTTCGGCCTATTCACTAATAGAGTTGCAGTGTTTCTTCTACGCACACGCTTTCAAAATGGCTTCTTGTGTGACTTTATTGCTTTATTACAAAGTTGTTTTTCTCGATTTCTGCTTGGAATATAAACACAATAACGGAATGACTCTTTCAAAATTAAAAATAGTTTCTGTTTAGCATTAATTTCTTCAGGAAATGGCTGAGAAATTTGGTAAAATAAAATGTAAAACTATATCGTTCGAAATAAAGTTTTAATAACACTTTTTACTTTACAAGTTTCGAAAACACAATACAGCGTTCAGAACACCTTACAGAACAATTAAAACATGACATATCAAAAGAAATAGTATCGTACAAATTGGGAAATTTATAGGATACAAAACAAAATTGCTTTAAAAAGAATATCATGGCTTTTCCCAACATTCGGGAAGGTTTTTGCTATTTGTTTGAAGCGAATGTTTCTGAGTTTTAAACCTAAGTTTTAAATTATCCGTGAATATGTTTGACACAGTAATAATATAATAAAGAAATCTTACCTTTCAAGTTAAATACAACATTTTGTGCATTTTTCGTTTTCCGGGACGATTTTTTCAATATTTTGTCGATTTTGAAACCAAATTTGCCGAATCATTCTTTTTGAAAAGCATTATTTACTGGTCTGCTAGTAAATAATGCCTCAGATTTACTAGTCAACTAGCCAATCAGAACGCGCGAAAGCTCATTTGATATGCAAAATTTATACTAATTCGGGATATTATATAACTTTTTTATGGATTCTAATTTGTCTATACTGTATATATCTTAATCAGATAAAAATCTGGTATTTTATCATAATCTTAAAATATATTAAACCAATAGCCTATTTGTAAAAGTACTGGAGCGTATAGCATTATTAATTATGCAAAGTCTCAATTGCATTCTTAAAATTAAAACATTTGTTCGCTTCTGCATATTTCTCCACTTTAAGTCTATATTATGCAAACTGCCATCTCTAATCATTTACAACAGAAATAGCAGTAATTATGGCGCAGTTTCCCATAACCGATATAGCGGTTCACAATCAGCGCAGTTTCAACGTGGCGTCGCAATCGATGATAAAATAGTTTCAATTTGAAGGGCATCAAAATCACGACCCAATATTTCAATTTTGGCTTGTGCAAGAAAGCAATGCAATTTAATTTAATTTAATTTATTTACTTAATTTAAACCAGTACAGAGAGCCATGTTATGGTGCAAGAGCTGTTATCCTGAGCTCACCAACCGTATATCTTGATTACTCTACGTACTGAATATAGCCTAATAACGACAAATGCTAATCAACTTTTATTTCCTCCAGCAACCATTTTCAGTGGATCTTCATAACATTTATAAAGGAAATGATGCAGAAGGTATTCCTGGTACACCTGTTTTTGAATTATCCAGGGCAGACAAAGAAAGAAAACTGAACATATTCCAGTTAGTTGTACAAATGGAATTTATTGATGGTTCGTTTAGCCAAAAATTTACCAGTCCAGTATTCAATTTGCGAACGCTCGACCCTCCAAAAGGTAAAAATTGTTTCTAATGAAACGCTGCGCCATTTCATTCTATAGCATGCGCAGTAATTATTTCCTGCTGCAGCCAATGCTAATGTTGTAAATTTGATTATAAAATTCATTAATAATTCATGAAGATAATTCAAAAGAAGTGAATGAGCGGTGAAAGGTTTTTGGCCCTGATGACTTCTGCCTGGGGCACCAAAAGCCGTTCAAGTATATACACAGCACCTCTGTACGTCTCTTCCCACTGCATAATATTTAACAATTATTCGCCGAAGGCGAAGTGATTACCGGTGAATATTCACCGAGACGAAGTCGAGGTGAATATTCACCGTAATCACTGAGCCTGAGGCGAATAATTGTTTTAGTATAAATTTTTAATGAATAAAACAAAATATCCAAGTTATCCAACTACAAGTTTAATTAAAATTCAGAAATAAAACTGTTTTCGACCGGTTTACGGTTTGGTGTTGCAGTGTTTCTTGTACACGCACGCTTTCAAAATGGCTTCCTGTGCGACTTTATTGCTTTATTACATAGTTATTTTTCTCGATTTCTGCTTAGAATATAAGCACAATGATGGAATGACTTTTTTACCAGACTTAGAATTAAAAAATAGTTTCTGTTTAGCATTAATTTGTTCAGGAAATGGCTGAGAAATTTAGTGAAATGAAATGTAAAACTATATCGTTCGAATTAATATAAAAGTTTTAATACACTTTTCACTTTACAAGTTTTAAAAACACAAATAGTACAATACAGCGAAAGGACACCATACAGCACAATGAAAGCACGACATAGTCAAAAGAAATAGTATCGTACAAATTGAGATATTTATAGGATACAAAACAAAATTGTTTTAAAAAGAATATCACGGCTTTTCCCAAAAGTCGGGATATTTTTTGCTATTTCAGATTTACGTTTGAAGCGAATGTTTCGGAGTTTTAAATAAGTTTTAAATTGTCCTTGAATATGTTTGACACAGTAATATAATACTAAATCCTACCTTTCAAGTTAAATACAACATTTTGTGCTTTTTTTCTTTTTCTGGGACGATTTTTTCAATATTTTGTCGATTTTGAAACCAAATTTGCCGAATCATTCTTTTTGAAAAGCATTATTTACTACCCAGGTGGTAAATAATGCCTCAGATTTACTAGTCAACTAGCCAATCAGAACGCGCGAAAGCTCATTTGATATGCAAAATTTATACTAATTTTTATTATATAAACATAAGTGTTATATAGTGTTTTTGGCCACTGAGAAAATTCGTATTCAAACACACGTAAAAAATACGATATTTTTACGTGTGAATATATCATTTGTTGTAAAACGCATTGTCAGGGACGTTTTATTGTTTTTCACTGAATTTTGTTTATACAATAAACAGAAAAATACATGGGTGTTTGGAAATACCAGATTTATTTCTCCATTTTCTCGTGTTGAAAATGATATAAATCATGTTCAACACTCGAAATAAATCTCGTATTTCCGCGCTCTCATGTATTATTAGCCTGCGCGCAGACTATATAATGACATATATATAGTCTGCGAATCCACGGCATGAAGCTTGGATGGTCACGTGAATTTCACAATAAAGGTTGGGACGAATTGTGATTGGTTGAACTATAATTATGCAGAATTAATGTTAATTCATCGGACATTGTGTTCGCAACACGCGTTGGACTGTTCAAAATTGACCGTTACCAGCATCAAATGACAATGTTTATTACAGTTGTATTTATAAACGTGTGACGGATAAACAAGGAAGGCCGTTGTTTTCAAAACGGAAAGCCCATTTCGCCAAACAGAAGATGTAATATTATAGACGAAATCAAATTTAAGGGAGGCAATAAAGATACAGGTATTACAGCTATTCGAGATTTTACAACCATTCGAGACTTCAAACTTATTCGCTATATAAATCAACAAGACTCCGCAATGAAAATACCAGTACCTTTATTGCCTCCCTTAAATTTGATTTCGTCTATAATATTGCATCTTCTGTTTGGCGAAATGGGTTTTCCGTTTTGAAAACAACGGCCTTTCTTGTTTATCCGCCACACTTCTATAAATACAACTGTAATAAACATTGTCATTTGACCCTGGAAACGGTCAATTTTGAACAGCCCAACGCGCGTTGCGAACGCAATGCCCGATAAATTAACATTAATTCTGCATAATTATAGTTCAACCAATCACAATTCGTCCCAACTTTTCTCGGGAAATTTACGTGACCATACAACCTTCATGTCACGGATTCGCAGACTATATTATATGTCACCATTATATAGTCTGCGCGCAGGCTAATGTATTATTCTCCATAGACTTACTTATGGAAATCGCGCGCAAACACGGATTGCTCATGATATGCAGTTACTCAGTGTTATTTAGTGCCTTAAACCAATATTAACTGTTCTGTAGGAAAAGTTCTACCCGGAGGAAAACGACCACGTGTCAGTGAGACAGGTACTGTAACCAGTTTCTTTAATACAATAAGCTAACTAATGTTCCTCATGCAGCGTACGTGTAGTACGCTCTTTGTGCTGTGATAAAATTTCATCACAATAATAACTTTGCAGAAGTCACTTTACACTGAAATTTGGAGACGTGGTAAACTTCACTATGATTGGCTGTCTCACTTCAAATAATCCAAAGAGCAGTGCAAAAATTGTAATAATTTGTAATAGTAGGTACACGTGTGCTAACGGGTACAACTACTGCAGACAAACAACTTGAGTATTTTAAACATAACATGTTCTGTTTTGTACCTAACGTTCGATAATTTACATACAATCGCTCTCTAACGTAACCTTTCAACTGTGCATGTTGATATTTTAGCTTCTCCTGGAGGATCTGTCGACAGCGGGACTTTTGATGACGGTAGGTACAGGGCGCATATTTATACAGGGCGGTGTAACGCCTTGATGTCGCGCTGATCGACGTGCATGGATGCGCAAAACAACTGGCACGAGCGTGTTTTTTGGCAAAAGTTTACAAGGGGAGTGATTTTTGCTGCTGTTATCGTTTCCTAGATTTTCAGTAACTACGAAATTCTTGAGGATGTAGCACTGTAATGATGAAGTAGTAACTAGTGTATCGTATTAATACATGTTTGACCTATATTGTTTAATTTTCAAAGAAATATTGAGGATAATGAGCTGGTTTTTGATGACTTCGATCATCGAGGTAAAATTTCAAGACAGCATTTGAGCATGCTATCATATCGTCCAAACCACGAAATTCAGTTGTTTGTAAAGATTATAATTATGTGCTTATCTTCAAAAGTGATAAAATTCTGAGTTGAGCTTTTGAATACACAGCGTTGGAAAGTGAGATTTGTGTGATATATTCCCGAGCGACTGTACTAATTATTACTAATTAGCCGTGCGATGGTATTATACCCGCGTATGCGAAAACATAGCGATCGCGAAGTTCAAAGTTGTTCTCCATTTTGTTTGTGTCATGGATGGTTTTTGACGTTATGCGCGTGGGTGAACACGGTATAAATAACTGTTTTTGATTTTGAAGGACGTATTTTGGTGTTTTACAGCAAATTGTTTGTTTTAAATTTCGTAAAAAAGTTTGCAATATGCCTAGTACAAAATGGGGTTTTTTCGATGTTAACTCGAAATACGCCCGCAATTTCATGATTTAATGGCCGTTAAACCGTGAAACAAACGTTGTAATAATTGTCTTGATGCTTTGATATTGATCTTTTTAATAATGTATCATTGTTGTGCCTGTTTGGGTAAGTGTAAACATTTCTGCATGTAGTAAAATTCCACGCCCGCACGCCGTACTTGCTTTGTGTTGTCGATTTTATTCATATTCACTGAATTTCGAAGCCCTTTTCAACTCGATTATTCACAATAAATAATTTATTTTAAATTAAAGTAAGCTCAGTGGTTGCTGCTGGTGTACATGAAATTGCAGCGAATGTTATCATTCATTAAGTCTAGCGCATGCATCAGTTGTGTTTTTATATTTGTTTATAATGGTCTTATTACTTTATGTGAAGATTTTATACTTCATCTGTTAAGAAAGGCGAGTGGTTGCTGCATGCAAATGTATCTTCTAGTATGTTAATAATCAGTTTATATGACTTTTAAGGCATTCAATGGAAGTAGTTCTGAACCGTAAACATATTTTACTCCTTAGCCATTCAATCAAAATACGACTCGCTCGGACGTATGTTGAGCGCAATGGTCGAAAATTGTATTTTTTACTGGCTGGCAAAGACGATCTCTCGTAAGGATTCGTTAAGAAAATACAAATTCAAGCTGAGCGTTTCTTGACTTTCAATTGAAAAGAACAACTATAGTGACTAAAATTCACTGTGAGTTATGTTCTACCGAAAGTGTACGATACATTTATGTATGAAGAGTTTTAAAAAACCTTTCACGTCATGCTTCCTGCCGCCTATCTTGCAAGCCCTTTATATAATCCCCCTGTGTAAGTACAGTATTATTGGCATTGCATGGGTTCCGGAAACACCGCTTTTTGGGGGGTCGTGCGACATTGTTGTCGTGTCTGCCGTGTTGTTTGAGACTGTTCCTCGCTGTTGTGTATTTCATTCTGCTATTTTGAGTAGAGCGGTGTTGATTAGGTTGCTATCTGTTGTTTCAGTTTGTATTGCCGTATTGTTGGTTGCATTGAGTTCGTTTGATTTGAACTGTTTCGTGTTTGTTGCGTTGTCTTATTTTTCTTTGTGTTGTCTTGTGCTGCGCGACATCATTTTGCACTGCGTTGTGTTGTGTTGTGTCGTGTCGTGTCTTGTCGTGTCGTGTTGTTTTGTTTTGTTTCCCGCGGCATTGTTTTCTTTTACTGCATTGCGTTGTTTTGTTAGGTGTTGAATTGGGTTTTTTTACGTGTTGCTCTTTTGTGTTGCGTCACGTTGTTCTGTGTTACCCTACATTATTTTGGATTGTATTGTGTTGTTGAAGGGTATGCTTTTGTGTTGTTTAGGATCGCACTTCACTGTTCTATATATGTTGCGTTACATTGATAATTGTGTATTCCGCTACATTCTTTCGAATTGCACAACGGTGCTTTAATTATGACGCCATGCACGCGCTGTTCTGCGCTTGGTTGTGTTAACATTGAAGTGTATAATTAATATATGTTGCAGGAAGACAACAAAAGATTCTGGTTGACATGCTCGACGCCAAAACTGCGGAGGTTGACAAAGTAGTTGTTAAAAATCTGCAGGTTAACGGGATATTAAATGTCAATACAACAGGAGCTGATCTGGCATACCATTTGACATTGAAAGAACCTGAGAAATATGGTGATCTACAAGAAGGTGACATTGTTGGGTTTTATAAAGACGAGGAATCTGGGGAGACCTATATTCAGCGCCTGCGCAGTAATAACATTCACAATGCTTTGCATACGGGTGTTGTAAGCCGTTCTCATTGGCTGGCTGGACACAAACCTCTCAATCCAGGTACGATTATTAGAAACGCTTGTAACTAAAATGGGACGTCTGTATAAACTACAAGCATTATAATGGCGCATTCGGTGATCAAAATGTTAATTCCGCTATGTTTTCGTTGTTTTAAAAATTATTCCCCCTATTCCCTTATATATGCAGTAACTAATTGTTGTCAAAGCACTGGTGATCTTGTGCAAACTACGTAGATTGTCTTTGGCATAACGCGTTGTTCGAAAAGTCGCTATTAAAATATATTATTTCAAAAATTCTTAAAATCATTTTATGTTTGTTTAAGTAAATTTACAGCCTTTGTAATAGAAATTGTTTTTGGCTGTAGCACTTCGGATCATTGCCAAATGAAGAAGATCACATTTCCTGATGACAGGCATACAGATATAGTTTTATTAAACACGTTTCAACTAAATTAACTATATTGAACCAATGTGCACAGTTACCTGATTACATGTTGTCTGGCTAAAGATGTTTTCTTACTCCATCACACTGGTGTCACTGTTGTTAGTTATAAACTATGTTATCGCCACAACCGTGACATATAAAGTGTTGTAATAAACCATCTTTTGTCGTGAAGGTTTATTATTTACATGGTCACAGCATTATTTTCGAAAACGTTTCCTTCATTTCATCAGGATTGAGACTTGTACATATATATAGTGAGCCCCAATTTCAAATAACTAAAATAAGTCCACCTCTCTGCCAAGTCCACCTTTCTTGAAGAACGAAATCCATAATCATACATCCCAATGAGCTTTGTCTTAAAGAACAATTGTTTGAAAGAACAATTGAAACTATATATTAAGTTCTCTTACCGCTTTTTCATACCTTTCTTAGTTCTTGAAATATTTTCACTTGAAGTAATCAGATGTCCGCCATCTTGGATATATTTTTTATCTCATTAACGGCAGTTTTGGTGACGTCACAACAGGGACGGTTGCTGACCAAATATTGATTGGTACATGTTTTAAAGGTTTTGAGTGATCTTGATATTTCGAAGGGCCGACAGAGTATAGTTTTGGGTGCAAAATGATTAGTGGTTGTCTAGATAAAAATATTGCGTGTCCCCTGTTGTGACGTGCATGCATATCTACAAAAATTAAAAATGGCGTACATTTCATTCCTTTCGATCAAAATATTTGTAGAAGTAAGCAATATATGAAAAATAGGTAAAATAAGTTAATATATAGTTTCAAATGTTCTTTCAAATGAGAAAATAAAAAAATATATTGCCATTTCCCTTTAAACTTAACAATTATTCTCCGACGGCGAAGTGATTACCGGTGAATATTCACCGAGACGAAATCGAGGTGAATATTTACCGTAATCACTGAGCCTGAGGCGAATAATTGTTTTAGAATAAATTTTAATGAATAAAACAAAATATCAAAATATCATTTTAATTAAAATTCAGAAACAGTAAAAATATTTTCGGCCGGTTTTACGGTTACTGTTTTAGTGTTGCAGTGTTTCTTGAGTACACGCTTTCAAAATGGCTTCCTCTATGACTTTATTGCTTTATAATTACACAGTTGTTTTTCTCGATGATGGGATGACTTTCTCACCAGACTTAGAATTAAAAAATAGTTTCTGTTTAGCCTTAATTTGTTCAGGAATGGCTGAGAAAATTGGTAAAGTGGAATGTAAAACAAATGCTCGAATGCCTCGAAATAAAGTTTTAATACACTTTTCACTTTTAATACAAGTTTCGAAAACACAATACAGGGGCAGGACACCTTACAGCAATGAAAACATGAATATATCAAAAGAAATAGTCTCAGTGGCGTAGCTAGCGGTCGACCCTGCTTGTCCTGCCCAGCAGGACTAAGAATTTCCCCAAATTTCCGTACTAAAACATTGCTTTATTTATCTTGAAGCTTTAAAAAATCATCATCATATTGTTATTTTGTCTCATTTTCTCGTCTATTTAGTTATTATTTTTTAATTTAAACGTTTTTCACATTGTTATATTTACGCAATTTTACAACTTGCCGTGTCTGTTACCTAGCAACTGCAACTCTACAATGATTTACACGCGCTCGTATTTCAGTCCTGCCATTTTGAAATGGCAGGACTTGCTAGTATATTTCATAGTAAATTCATACAAGAAATCTTGCTTTCTGATTGGATAATTAGGTATGCGCATGCTCAAACCGACTGTTTACAAATTCGAAATCCTGCTCTCTCGAACTGGCAGAACTTGGCCTTGTATTGTCTTTACTTACGAACTTTCCGCATGACTAAACCCATTTTTTACTAATTCTGTCGAGATTACTAAAGTTATGAATATGGAAATCAACGAGTGTGGAAGCCCAATGTGATTTTGATATAATTTCTGGCTTCTGCTAAGATATTTTAGCTCACGAAATGCATTGTGTATAATACAATATAATGGGAAATACAAATTTCATTTGTGAAGCCTGTCGTATTGATATAAAGCAAGAAAGTAATATTTACTGCCAGTTCATGTGCTTTATGCATTGAAACACGAGCACTTAAATGGAGTTTAAAAAGTGATGTACTGTGCCAATTTATATTTACACTGTTTTTATCAGTAGATATTTGGCCGCATACACTCTTTTAAACGCTATATTAATTAATACCATAGGTATAGCGTACTGAATTACATTCAGAACGCCAGGCGTATTGGTCTGTAGTAAGTTGATACCACTCCGTTATATAAAGTTTAAATTAACACATCACTAACAAACGTAGTGAATTTTTAACGAATGCTAGCCGTAGTGATAGTGTATAAAAGACATAAAACACCGTGTTATGTGTTGATAATGAAAGATCATATTACAGAAGCGTATTGTGAACATGATATTTTCCTCTTTCGTGACTATTTAGCTACATTTTCACTTAAATTAAGTTGAAAAATAGTGAAATATGATAAAAATGCATAGATTTTAAAAAGTTACAAACTTTTTTCTAAATAGTATAAAAAATGTTGCGTTAATCACGCAATTTTTTTATGTGGAGTATTTCGCCGTGAAATCGCAGGAAATGGCTATTCCAGACTTCTACTAATGACTTCTTCTACTTCTTCTAGTCAAATTTCGTTGGCTACGCCACTGAATAGTGTCGTACAAATTGAGATACAGTACCTATAGGATTCAAAAGAAAATGGTATTAAAAGAATATTACGGCAAGGTTTTGCCCATGCAACAGTCGGGATAGTTTTTGCTAAATTGTCCGTGAATTTGTTTGACACAGTAAAATAATAAAAGAATCCTATCTATCAAGTTAAATACAACAATTTGTGCTTTTTTCGTTTTCTGTGGACGATTTTTTCAATATTTCGTCGATTTTGAAACCAAATTTGCCGAATCATTCTTTTTGAAAAGGATTATTTAGTAGTCAGGTGGTATATACTAACTAATCAACTAGCCAATCATAACGTGCGAAAGCTCATTTGATCTGTAAAATTTATACTAATTGCTGGTATTAAACAAGGCATTTCGAAAGGCTGTCTTATACAAGATGTATTGGACATGTAATGACACGTTGAATTAAATTTGATTTACCCTCTTCAGCTACCAAGACTGACACAATCTGCGTCATTGGTATTGTCAACGTCAAAGTTGTTGGCAGTATTGAGAATGGAGAACGTATTTATGCCTCAACGGATCGTCCAGGGAAAGCGATACCACAATCACATATGCCTGTAGGTTCTTTCCTGCGTAAAAAACATGCACTGCTTGGTATGGCTTTGGAAACCAAGAAATCCAAGACACTTGACGATGTTCATTTAGTAAAATGTTTTGTGTGCATAGTACTTGATGTAAGCAGAAAGGAACTGCTAGAGGAGATCGAAGATCTTTACCAAGTTAATGAGGAAAGAACAGCGGAACAAATTAAAATCGCCAGCAAAAAGACGTGGAGAAGTAAGTTTTTTTTTGTTTTTTTGTTTTTTACAAACTTAGTCATAAATTGCAGGTTAACTCTACAGAACCTATTGATCCATTTACAGGATCCCTATAATAACCAATTTAGTTCTTGTTTAATTTTGTTCTTGTTCCGATTTAGTTCTTGTTTCAATTAAGTTCTTGTTCATCATGCACGCAGTAGGATTTAATATTAAGGACACGGAATGTATAGACGTCCATGCTGCTGCTCAGCTGACTAACACTCTTGCTTGAAACGTCAGAATGTAATTAATAACCGCATTCACTAAAAGTTATCCTTCATCTTTTTCGTGAAGGTTAATTCGTCAAAGGAAATTAGTTAAAGGAAATTACTTTTTGGACGAAAACCTGAAATGTTCTATGTTGGTAGATTAGTTGCTTAGAAATGTCGTTCCACGAGCATGCGCGTTCGCAGGTAAAGGGTGGGCTTAGCTCTGCAGAAATCGAATTGATTAGGAGTTGTACACATGCTCGGCAATTGTTGCAATATATAAACAAAGTATTTAGAATTTCTCGTATACATTTTTACACTAAAATTGGTTGAAAAAAAACTAAAAATTTTTGGGTAAATATGTACGAAAGCCTCGGATTGATGGTGATACAACTACCTTAAAAGTACAGGGGGGAACTTTGACGTTTCTGGAGAAGTCCCTTTCGAGCGATTTGTACTGCTGGTGTATGTATACATCATACTTCCGACCTTTACTTTTGGTCCTGATAAATATAATCTCCGCAAGAGTGAAGGAATGTTGGCTACGAAATGTCAATGTGGACCTATATATTCTATAAACATAGGTATATACATAGATACAGATACAGATATTTCACAGCACACACCCTATCAGGGCTTTTCAGTGACTGGTTAAATTGCGAATAGATAGATAGAACCGGACTGACGTGAAGCAGACCAAGGTAGACTTTGAGCTTACAAATGGCGCTTGAGTAGCCGCTATTAGTCCATACATGCATCTTTAATGATCTTCGTCCTGACCTATGTGCTTAAACCACCCTGCAACTTTCACTGTGGAAGGAAATCGGAGTACCCGGAGAAAACCCACGACTTTCGGCAGAGTGTTGACTTTAATAAATTCTTTTCACACGAGGACTGGGTTCGATTCACATTTAGAAGCTCTCACTGAGGCTTGAAGCAGCTACCTTAGAGGTGAAATTGGCCAGCATGCGTACAACTCACGTTCGAAATCCAACGTGAATCACTTCGATTTCTCCAGAGTTATGGCCGCCCTTAACCTGCAAACTGGCATGCTCGGGGAACGAGATTGGTTGCTTATATATAGTGGATTTTAGGTTAGTTTAGGACCGGAAACGAAATAATGTTAAATATTATCACATCGGAAATTTTTTTGTTTCACTTTTCTGTTGGAAATGTTGGAATGATATCGTCGAATAGCAGAATGATTCTCAAAAGGATTCAAGAATAATGAATACGGAAAAAACTTATTGCATATTCACAAAAGTACGCAATGAATGATCAATAATTTGGCAATGTTTTGACAGTTTCAAGTTTGGACATGTACCTGATTATTTTGTTAGTCATGCAATTGATATTTGGTGATTCGGTTGATACTGTAGGTTATAGAACTTCATAACTATTGCGAAAGCAGTCGGTCATTAACTTTGCGTAGGAATTAATAGAGTTAATTACCTAAGTTAAGTACTGTATATTATCGTGATTTACACTTTTGTTTCAGGGCTGAAAGGCTGCGCGCTATCGACACTCATTATTATTGGAGTTATAATATTTATCCTGTATCAATGGTTAGTTCCGGGATCAATGTTCCAATATTGGCTTTGTAGACAGGGATCTATCCCGGATCATCATCTCTACTATACGTATGTTGATACGAACAATGGCAGGGTAGGTAATAAATGTTTATTGATATATAGCTAGAGTGATCACCAAACGTGATAGGCTGAAATGTGGTCACGTGGTGTTACATAATTGTATTATACTCCGTTAGGCAACAGGTCCAAAATAAACCTTTCCGGTAATTACGTCACGACCAACACTGTTTTAAACTTAGGACCACCTTAAATGGAATGGATTTCAAGTTTGTTTCTCATGGGCTATGGTCAGAGAAGCAGAACATCCTTCTTCAACACATGCATGCATAAAACTAATTTTGGATTTTGACTATTAAATATGGCAATAACCTTAAACATGACAACGAGGCTGTGAGGCCATGGCCTCTCTTGGTCCCTCAGCCTCGTTTTCGTGTTTTGTCTTATTTCCACATTCATTGGTCAAAATCCAAAATTCTTTTTTATGCATGTGTTGAAGAAGGATGTTCTGCTCGTCTGACCATAGCCCGTGAGAAACAAATTTAAAATCCATTCCATTTAAGGTGGTCCTAATTTGAAAACAGTGTTAGTCGTGACGTAATTACCGGAAAGGTATATTGTTGTCGGCCCTGACAGGCTGCTCTGAACACTCTCAGAATTTAAATTTAATTTTGACAGGCATATGATTGATAATCTAAATACTTTGGAATTTACTTGGCATTCAGTTAACGAATCAAAGATTTTCAGTACAATTTGTCTATTTCTAAATCTACTGGATGTGATAAAATACCTTCTAAAATTCTAAAATATTCTGCTTCTGTTATTACATCATCTTTAACCAATCTGCTCAATTCCTAGAGTTGTACCGCTTCTTAAGAAGGATTCGCGCACCGTTATAGACAATTACAGGCCAATATCAATTTTGACGGTACCGGTTGTTAACAAAATATTTCAAAAGATCTTGTATGAGCAGTTATACGAATATTTTACCACCAATAATTTACTCTCTGAACAGTAGTTTGGGTTCAGGCGCTTTCATTCTACATCTACTGTACTGCTAGATTCTACTGATGAGTGACATATTACTGGCCAAACTCGAGTTATATGGTACGCCTCTTATGCTTTTCTTAACAATACGCCTCTTATGCTTTTCAAAACCTACTTATCAAATCGATCTTAGCAATGTCTAGTCTGCGAACCCAGACGTCATTTCCGACGCTCATTCTTCGCTAGGAAAATAACGTGTGTGGAAACGAGCGGGAATTAGATATCCGTGACGTATGCCTATTGTCTATGTTAGCCAATTAAAACATATGTTACTATTTTCAACTTCATTACTGGACGATCGACGCCAAAGAGGATTGTCTATATGTAGGCCTATGTCGATCAATAAAAATATAGGATGTTATCAATAAAAATATGGTGAGGAAAATTATTATGATATATCATACTGGAGTTTCAAGATGTTGTTCTCGCTCCAACAGCCAGACTATATTAACTTCACAGCTCGTTCGACAGATTGTGATTTGAACTAGTCTGCGAAGAATATAATTTTCTACGCATTTGATTAATTAGTGCGTTACTAAAATACTGTATGAATGAAATTCCAGATATGGACAAATTCATTTAATCTTTTATGTGTCAATCCGTCTGTTCTGTTGCAATTGCAGTTCATTATTATTAAAAGTACGGCCGGCCTAAATAATATATAGGACACTTTGTTTATGTCTATACCGCTCTGCAGCAAGATTATACGCCAACAATCAATAATTGCATGCATTCATTGCATTGGAAACAGCCTGGTCCTGAACTTGTTGTAAAACCTGTCACGGAACTAAAGTTAATCTGATAGTTGAAGATCCTAGCGAAACTAACACAAATTAAATATATACAGTTTAAACGTTTTGATTGTTCATATTCACTTTAGTTAATAATATATATATGTATACGTACTTCTGAATAGCATGCAGTGTGTTTTCTAACTTACTAGTAGTTTGTGTTTGTATTTATATACTGTACACAGAGTGAAATTGACATCAATTTTATAGGTTGTAATTATAGTAGCATTTTCAGTGTGCTTTCTTGCGTCGCGCTGTTTTAATACAGTTAGCACTTTGTTGCAGTACACTGATACGGCATTTGAGAGAAATTCAAATTAACATTTTCCCAAAAAACATGATCGCCAGAAGTAAATGCATTTTGTTTATAACTTCAGGTCTGAAATTGATATTGATATCGGTACTGCATGCATGCATCAATAAACAATCGGTTACATTATTTCACCGTAAACCAGCTAGTTCTATCTGGCACTTTTTACATTCAATGCTTTTCAAATAAATTACAATTCAGCAACACTTTGTTCTCATCTGGTTAAAATAGTTTCCAATTTATTTCCTGTGAAGAATCGTTCGAAAACGCAAGAGCAGAAGTAAATACAAAGCAATAATGTGAATGCAAATATAAATATTAACAACGAGCAACTTTGGTCTTTGTATTATAAATGTGCGAGTATAAATGTACATTCTAGAATAAAGAAAAATACAGAAAAATTTAATTATTTACTTTTATATGGTCACAAGCATAAAATCCTGATGTTCTTTTGTAAAAATATATTGTTATTGCTAGTACGAAGGCCTAATTGAGAATAAAAACAATAAATTTTCTTGAAAACGCCCCGTCAGCTAAAAATATATGTTACGACTGTTATTGTTGACATTCGCAATTCTCTGTCGCGTGGAAGTCCCACAAATATCCCACGCATTTCGCATGAGATTCCCACGAGTTAGTTCACAGTTTTTAGAAGCTACATTCTGATTGGCGGAAATCGAATTCCCGCTCGTTTCCGCAAACGTTATTTTCTAAGCGAAGAATGAGCGTCGGAAATGATGTCTTGGTTCGCAGACTAAAGCCGGTTTTCCACTAGGCGGAATTTTGCGCGCGGAGCGGAATTTTTCTTTGTCTTGTGATTTCTCGGGTGGAACTAATTAGAAAAGACAAAGAAAAATTCCGCTCCGCGCGCAAAATTCCGCCTAGTGGAAAAGCGGCTTAAGCAATGTCAAGTAAATGGGGAACTTTCCACGTTAAAATAAGTAAAATATGGATTTCCCCCGGGGTCAATTTTGGGTCCACTTCTGTTTTTAATTTATATCAATGATTTACCAAACTGTTTACAACACTCTACAGCACGTATGTTCGCCGATGATACTAACATCACAGTGTCTGGTAAATCGATTGAAGAAGCTGAGGTGGCCGTTAATGCTGATCTCAATAATACCAGAGAATGGCTTTTAATTTATCAAACAGACTTTGTCTTAACCAAATCAAAACGGAATATCTTTTGATTGGATCACGGTACAATATTAACACGTTGGAAGTACAACCGCGTTTTTTTGGGGGGGCGGGATGAACCAATTAAAGAGGTTCAGGCCACAAAAGCTCTTGCTGTTAAAATTGACCAACTTTTAACTTCGGACAGCCATATTGACTTTATTTCGAAAAAGTATCTTCTGGAATAAGTGGTATGAAAAAGATAAAGGATTTCACTGATTCCGATACTTTGAATTCAGTCTATTATGGTCTTGTCCAACCCATTTCGACTACTGTTGTGAAGTTTGGAATTCCATTAGTAGAGGTTAGTCAGAACGACTACAAAAACTTCACAACAGATGTGCTAGAATTATAATGAACTAGCTTTAAAGATGAGCCTGGGCAATCTCAACTAGCCCTTGATCAATTAGGGTGGAAAAGCTTGGAAGAAAGGCAAAAAATATTATGGCCTGGCTCATGTTTATGGTTGTCAATAATATGACACCGTACCGTCGAAGTTCTCATCAATGTTCCAGAATTCAAACCATATCCACAGTTATAATTTACGAGGTTCAAATTCGTCTTTCTTTCTGCCACGACAAATACCGAGTGTGGCAGAAAATGTTTCCGATGTAGTGGTGTTAGAATCCGGAATGGCATTCCTGAACTAGTAAGAAACAGGGCAAACAGCGAATCTTAAATTTAAATGATTTCAATGGGAATATTTGTTCTGTTAGTATGAAGAATTAACTATTTGACTATTGTACCACTTGTTTCGTAATATGTATTTTGTATTCGTAGTTCTTAATAATAACGGCTTATTGACCGCGCTTGAGGTCTGTACTGTGAAACATCAGGCAGAGTTTTCTCCATGCAAAAAACAGAGGTCTGATATTTCACAGTACAGACCGAACAAGCGAGGTCATTAATCGGCTTATTATATGGCTGAACTGAGTCTGTGAGCATATGCTTTTCGCGCGAATTAAATCGGCTATCGTCAGTTTCACTGAGTAACAATATATGGTAGGCATTCATGCTCAATCAAAAACAATTTGGTTGTTTAAAATTTTTATCTGTAAAGCACAATTGGAAATTTAAAACGCAAAATTTTTTCTGTTTGCAAAGCAAAAACTTCCTGGCAGATAAACGACATCCGGGACACCGGTCCATATACGGAAAATGCGGACCACGGTCCGGATATGGATTTTTACGGACCGCTTGTCAACCAATCAGAATAGAGAATTTTGAAAAGCCATATATAATGAAAAAACTTTATTTGACTACGCTGCCCACTGCAAACGAAATTGCTTTCCAAGTGTGGCGTAGATAATTTATAATGTTACAAAAATATATAAAATAACTAATATTATTATATGGCAAGCATTTGTTTTTGATGAATCGCGTAATTTGATTGGCTGCTGACGAGGCAGGAATTTCCCGTATTGGCCACGCGCAATACGTAATTTTTATTGCTTTACAAAGCTGGGACGAGAGCCGAGTTTCAAACGGCAAAAAGTGTCTAAAGGTCTTTCAATTGAAAACGAAGAAAAAAGACCTAAAATAGATAAAAGGAGCAACTGCTGTGGTTAAAGAACTTACTAAATACGTTTTTGTTACCGAAAGTCGAATTTTTAACACTGTAAATTTTACAATGTGTTTGACTATTAAAGCAATCAAGAAAAATAGTTGTTTTGACAATGAGAAGAGCTGCAAATTTAATTTGCAGATGGCCAGCAGGAATCGGACACCATGTAAATAAAAAATACAACTAAAGCAGCCACAGATATATAATTTCCCCCTGAAAATTTCTGTTTTTGTTAGATCAAGAGACATAAATATATGAAATGAACTAAAAACGTATTTGTCGATGCTATCTATTAATTTTATTGTTTTCATTTTGTTCTCTTTGATTAAATAACGAAATAGTTCGATTTTTTCTTGAAATACTATCCAAACTGTGTTAGTATTCTATAAAAAGTGCTGTAGAGTGTTTTACTATTAACCAAGAGAAAATGTTTGCTACTTTGCCCTTGCGTGACCTTTTTTCACAATTTTTACTAACGTACAATGCAATATATGATAAAAAAAACTTACTGAACTCAACCGTTCGGGCACTACGGAAAAATATCCAAACTCGGTCATGCTGTATTGAACTCCCTGTCGCTCGGTCAATACAGCAAGTCCTCGGTTTGATATTTTCCCGTACTGTCCTCACTCTCGATCAGTAAGTTATTAATAACCTTATCCTATCCCATCATGCATAAATAAATAACGTAGCTGCACATCTCGCAAGTTTAAAGCTACGATTATCCAACTTTGTATTAAAATAAGGAATATAAAAGAGAAGAAGTTTTGTTTCCGCGACATCGTCTCGGGTAACAATGAGATTCTCGGGAAACAAAACTAGCTATTCCTCTCGGGACTGGACATTAAGGTGACTCAATACAGTTTTTTAAAAAATGGGAAAATCACGATTTAGATACTTATTTTTGGACAATTGTTACTTGTTGATAAACAAAAAGTACCATTCATATATGAAACAACATCTAGAAAGTTTGAATTTTGGTACAAAAGTTACGCAACTGCCGTTGCTATGGCAACAATGACGTTTCAAGGTGGCAGATATTTTGGTTTTAAAATAATTTAACTCATAAACGACATCGGTGTCCCTTAAATTTTATTTAAAAAAAATATTTCTTTTAGTATTATCAATTATTTTGACAATGTAAAAAAATTCTGTGGAGCCAAAATTTTTAAAATTACGTAAAGGTGATTATTCATAATATTTTTTTTTCATAGATTTTTTTTTTAATTTTGAAAATAATTGATTATACTAAGAGAAATCATTTTTTAAAATAAAATTGGGGGATCGCCGATGTAGTTTATAAATTAAATTACTTTAATGCTAAAGTATCCGCCATCTTGAAACGTCATTATTGCCATAGCAACAACGGCAGTTGCGTTTAACGTCCTGAATCTTTAGATGTTCGTTGATATAAGGAAGGTACTTTTTGTTTGTCATCGAGTAATAATTGTCCACAAATGCGCATCTAAATCGTGAATTTTCTATTTTTTTAAAAACTGTATTTTAAGTGTATCCTGTCGACTTTATAATTAGTTGCTGTTAAGTTGGAAATTGGAATGCATTATTTTGAATAATGAACAGTGTCTAAGTAAACAATCATTCTAAAGAGCTGAATTTACATTCAGCTTTTTCTAAATATTTTCAAGTAACATATTTTTGAAAACAAAATTCGTTGTCCAAATCAGTAATATAACTGATGCCAAAATCAACTCTATCTATAGTCGCCTAAGGAATTATGTTAAACGCCCTATATGTTTTCTATTAGCATTTTCAGGTACATGGTATTGAATTTACCTGGCAAGGACTGCAGGACAAAGTGGGATTCAAATTCTTACGAGACACGCTTGAAACAAGTAAGTAATGGACTATAAGTCAATATTAAATCAAGTCGATATTGTTTTCAAAAAATCAAATAATTTACAACATATAGTCTTTCAAAACATGGTTTGGAAACTCCGCTGAAGACTTTGTTCTATCTTTTTGCTCGCGTTTATGCTGTTTTGTGCACGGTGCACATTCAATGAACACATTGTATTTCAGTATATTGAACGAATCACCCAATAGCAACGTTTCAGTTCAGTCATTCGTACCAAATGAATGCTTTATTTTTGTTTAGTTTTAATATCAAAAATGAAAAAGTAAAAAAATAGAAAAATTTTATCGGGGCGAGATTTTCAAGAACGAGAATTTTCTTTTCAGCCTCAACATGGCCTATCGAAGGGGAGATGGCTGTGAAACTCATTAGAATAACAATATAATCATTATCTATGTTAGTCAACGTTTATTCATAAATCAGGTCCTTTCACCGTCACGTGTGTATTGTATTTTTACCAAATCCACCAATAGCAATTTCCAGTTTCCCTATTGTTTGAGTCACGGATAGGTGACATCCCTAAAACATTGCTATTGGTTAGTTGGGTAAAAATACAATACACACGTGACAGTGAAGGAACAGATTTGTGAATAAACGTTGACCAACATAGATAATGAGTTATATTGTTATTCTAATGAGTTTCACAGCCATCTCCCCTTCGATAGGCTATGGCCTCACAAATGAAATTTTCGCTCGAATGAAGTGTTCTTTTAGCCAACGAAAAGACGTGGCGTGAGTGTAACGAAATAAATTAAGTACAGGGCGGATCTAGGGGTCGTGAAATCAGTCGCGCGACTGAAGTAAAAATTGGCTACTTAAAAAAATCGACTCCAGCTATCCATAGCGGCCAGCTAGTAGATCGTGTTATTAAAATTTTGAATCGTAGTCCAGTTATATGTTTCATGCTTCGGCAGAGCTTCGGCAAAGTAATTTTAGTCAGTCACGAACAGCGGTTTTACGCATGAATGTTGACGGCTTTGGGGGTTGAATTTGGCTATCTGATTGGCTGACACGCTCATCTCCAAGGTTACGGCCATTTGCGACGGATCTGTGGGAAGGCCTGACGGATTTGCAGATTCAGAGGCACGGTTTGAGCCTCCTGATTGGACCATTTAAGAAAATTCTGCACTGTTATTGGCTTATATTTTCGACGGATTCGCAGCGTGGAGTATTTGGCAACACGTGTCCTACTAGTGTTTATTATTTCGAACGTCTATCTGAGAATTTTTACGAGCGATTTTAACCAGCGATATCTGGAGACATTTTCGACATTGTTCAGTTTATGATTGCCGAAAACGATTTGGAATCTCTACAACGTTTGCATACGGAGCTTGAGAAGAGGATCGATGCTTCACGGACGAATTCTGTTGACGAGCTACTGAGCGCCATCTACAACACAAAAAGAAGCCTCGCAGAACTTTCGGCACAGAGGGCTACATCCCGAAGTGTGTTCGAGATAAGGAAAACAAAGCATGTACTGCAATAAAGTAGAGAAATTTATGGTTTTATAAGGATGTATCTTTAATTTTGAAAGTATTTAACCGGAGCACCGAACCATTCGTGTTGCAAGTGATAGTCTAACAGATGATATTTTAATATTCGCTAATGCTGTATTGCAGCTGTATTAGCATAATTCTGCGGTCAAGAAGCTAAATGTGTTAATATTCAATGTCCGCATTGTAAGCATTTGTTGATTTTCATGTTACTGAAGATTTAAGATTCTTTATATTTTTTCCATCGATCACACAACATATACGCCTTGTTAGACCATACATATCCAATATGAAATGTCCATTTGACATATGACTATCCATTGGGTTGCGTTTTGTAAATCTCGGTCAACTAGGGAAATGACTAAGTAATTTCTGTTTGTAGAATGGCTTGTACACTACTATCTGAACGTGGACCGCTGTGCATACTACTGGGAAGACGGTGCAGCAGGAAACAACATTGGTGGTCGTAAATATATTGGAGGATCAAGAATTTTATCTGCCGTCAAACGTTGCACAATTGTTGATGAAATGATCGACGGGAATGATGTTTGGACGATTGTAAAAAATCAGAGTAACGTATCGTGTATACCGATGCCTTAAAAATAAGTTGCCAGAATTGTGTGTATATAATACAAAGATGAAGGATCTGACCACCAAAGACTAATGATTTTAGTTTCGAAAATTGTTCAATAAAACCGAACAATCTTTAATTCGCAAAATTTGCTCCATCTAAATTTCATACAATGAGAGCCTTCCCTAAAGCTAGTACACCAATCATTCAGTTATCTTGCTTTACAAATAATGTAATTAAATATTGTAACGAAAAACTGATCAGACGGAAAACTGGGGGGCCAAAATTGTGGCTGTATAGTTTTTAAAGACCATGTTAAGTCCGTTCTGCGCATATGTTCTGCGCAGGGCTACATTCCGACCATTGGAATGTTGTTAATATTTCGCACCTTTCGAACTTTCTTGAATTGAATCTCTAGCAGGGGCGTAGGAAGCACCTGGAGTTTGGGGTGGCACCGGCTTGTAGGGGCACATTACTATCGGAAAGGGCACCTAAAAAATTTTTCCCGGAAATGTTGTCGACGGGGGGGAGGGGAGAAATTTCTCCTGAGGAAAATTTTCCGTCATATCATACCGAAATTTATGTTCGTGACCTAATTTTTAAAAAAAATTTGTAAATTTCCACACAAAAACGGCACCTATTGTTTTAATTTAGTATTTACAGCGACATTAGCTTCTACAAAAGGGGCACTTTTCCTCACAAAAAAGGGCACTTTTCAACACAAAAAGGGCACTTTTTATCACAAAAAAGGGCACTTTTAGTCCTTTAAAAAAATTTGGGGGGGCACGTGCCCCCCGTGCCCCCCCGCTTCCTACGCCCCTGATCTCTAGTCTGTATTCATTTACAAGCATACCGATCGAACCAGAACAGTGATAAAAATTCAGTATTGATTGATTGATTGATTTTAATAATTACCACATTGTAAATTAATAAAAATTTAAAAAACGTGATATTACATAGATAGTATTAAAATTTTTAAATTTGCAAAAAGTTCAATTTAAAACTACTATAATATAAACTATATTAATGATATGTACTATAAAATATTTTGTTATGTCTATGGTCGGTCCCAGTTTCTAACACACTTTGGGATAAAACTGTTCTTATATCGGTCAGTTGTGCACTTATACATAGGATAAGTGCGTTTATTTCTTAGACTGAATTTGTGAGATATAGCACTGGGAAGTAGCGTTCTCAACTTATCGTCTGAGTGTTGATGGATATTCTTATAGAATGACAAGCACTGATTCTCTCTTCGCTGGTAAAGTGTAAGAAGGCCAGTGTTTCTTAGTGAGGTAGTATAGGAGGACTGGGGGAAAGCGAGTTTCAATGCACGTTTTTGTATACTCTCGATTTGATCAGCGAGGAATTGAGGGAGAGAAAAATGCCATACAGGTGAGGCGTATTCCAAAACTGGACGAATAAATGCACAAAAGACCGTTATTAAATCATTGGCTGGGGCACCAGATCGTTTGAGGATCCTTAGAGCATAAAGACGTTTACTTGCTTTGGTGCAGATGTAATCAATGTGCGCATTCCAGGTAAGATCCGATGATATTATCACTCCCAGAAGTTTAAAGGTCTGGACGATTTCTATGTTTAAACCAAATGAAGAGAGGGCATCGAATACCATAGGGACTCTAAGAAAGGATATACGCAGTTCTTTGGTTTTAGATACATTAAGCCGCATGTTGTTGTGATTGGTCCAGTCATTTATAGTGTTTATATTAGCTTGAAGCGATGAAGTAGGGGACGATCTTGAAACGATTTCGTATGTGGAGCAGTCATCGACATATTTGTACATTGGAGTGTTGGTTTGCAAGTCATTTATCATCACAAGGAAGAAGAGGGGTCCAAGTTTTGTACCTTGTGGAACCCCTGCATTTATTTGTCGCCATGTTGATTTATTCTGGCCAAGCTTGACACGTAAATATCGGTCATGCAGGAACTCAGCGCACCAATTCAACAAGATAGGAGGGATGTTGAGTTGTTGTAATTTATGAAGTAAAATATTGTGATCGATGCGATCAAAGGCTTCCAAAAAGTCAATCATACAACATCTGATAGTTGAACCAGGGTTTTCTAATTCGGCTAGCCAGTTATGGATCATGTGGATAAGAGCGTGTGTGGTGGAGCAATTTTTCATATTTCCGAACTGGAGCGGGTCGATTGATGGTTTAATATAACCAAAAAGCCATCGAAAAACAAAGCTTTCCAATAATTTACTCAGCACCGGTGTGAGAGAAATAGGTCTTAGGTCGCTATCAACTGATTTGGGATTAGATATTTTTGGCGCTGGGATAACGTCTGCTGATTTCCAGAGTGTCGGGATGCAACCTTGTGCAATGCTGGCATTGAAGATGGAACATATTGGACCAGCGAGCAACGGTGCAGCTGATTTCAGTACCCAGTTGGGGATATCGTCGGGGCCAATTGCTTTCTGAAGACTGATCTTTTCTAATTCGATTTCAACTTGTTGGGTTGATATTATGTACTCATCAGGAACAGATGTAATGTGAAGCTTATTGAAGCAGAGTGGGGCCAATTCGTTTGAAACAGCACAGAAAGATTCGGCAATTAGTTCAGCAAGCTCAGGACCTCTTTTGAACTCACCATCATGGAAGATGCTCGAAAAAGGTTCCGATTTAGATAGACCAGAAATAGACTTGATGTTATCGTACCATTTTTTTGGGTTAGATTCACTGGTATTAAGGATTTTCTTATCGTAGTAGGACTGACGAGCAGATTTACATAGTTTTCTAACTTTGTTACGATGTCAGTATAATGTATATCAAGCAATATTTTACAACTGTAGCACTCAGTTCAAAATGTCATCAATTAAGCGTTTGTTTACATCATGTTCTTTACATGGCCTTTAAAAGATGGATGATATTCAGCAATAGACCTAATTATTGGTTATGGCATATTTTTACCAGTTTCCACCTAAATTACTCATTTGCATGCCTTGAATGCTTGATTACTTGTAATCCATTCTATGTTTATATTATTAGAACAATAGTAGCTTAACTTACATAATCATAGGCTTTAATAGGACGAGTGGGACTGGGGGTTGCAGTTAAACCTATATATTGAATTTGAGCCGTCCCAGGATATTTTTCTCTTGAGATTTTTCGTTTTTGGCAAAAATCGTTTTATAAATAACTGTTTTATGTTTATTCTAATATGGCAGAGTACAATAAAAATTGATGTTTCACGTGAGATTCAACTCGTATATTTGGATTTCTAATGTCAGAAATGATGTAACATATCCAGTACAATGTAGTCTTTTTCATGCTATTTCTTCATCAAAAATATATCTGGAAAATAAATTCTTTAATCTCCGCTTGATCGAAAACCATCACCCGATCACAGTGCAATATCGAACTCAAGCGATGGCCAATAGTAATAACCGTGCATTCTTTGCATTCTTTAAAAATTTCGTCAATTATCCTTTGAATCACTTTGTCCGTGTTTCCATCTATTTTTTCAGTTGCTCCATCAAAGATTACAATTTCATTATTTTGTATTGAAAATCTAGCCAAATTTAGCAACTTCTTTTCGCCGACACTAAATTTGGAGTCGTCAAAGTTCAACTCAGAATCGAGTGCTTTGGCAGATTGTTAGCGGTATAACTCATTTTTTTTTGGTGTACGTAATGCATGCGTTCCATATTTCAGCAGCCAGATTTGATTGAATTGTGCCGTTAATTAAGGTAGGTGACTGCGAAATGACTGATACACATTTTCTGGTAGAAAGCATATTGAATTCCTTAACATTCAAACCATCGATCAGAATCTCGCCCCAGCTCTCGGCTAGGCGTATCAATGCGGCAACTAGAGATGATTTTTCAGCACCAGTTCTCCCCACTATTCCGACTTTTCCCGAAGAGTGTATCTTGAACTTTAATCACTGTAAAAGTAAAAGTAAAATTAAGATTGGGATTAAATAGTATATATACTATATATACTATATACTACAAAGGTACAGCAAAATATTGTGTAGGCGCAGAATTTGGCAGCAAAACTCATTCAGTCATGGCGCCCATCTGCTGATATAACTATATGCCATCCTTTACTGACTTTGCTTTATCCAGTATAGTTTTGCCTGGAATTTCTCTCAATGTATGTGGTTTGTTGGAAATAACAATATCTGGGGAAAAATAATGATTCAATCTTATAGTGTAAGTAGAGAACAAACAATGATGCCAGGAAAGACTTTTTTTCTGAAATGATCTAGTGTAGCTAAAAACTTAGCGAAAATATTGTGTGTAGAAACAGAATTTCACTCACTCTCTGGTGCCGAAAGTATGGAAATACATGCCAGGCCCATATATGAAGAAAGGCTTGTCTAACGTTTGTTATTGATCCACCACCAGGGGCGTAGGAAGCATCAAAGGATTGGACTGCACCGGCTTCCAGAGGCGCTTTTGAATATTGAAAAGGGCACAAAAAAATTTTCCTGGAAGTGTTGGAGTTGTTTTCCCATAATATCATACCGAAATTGCCCGTTTTTGACCAAATGTTTTTTAAAAACATCAAAATTTTCCAAACAAAAAGGGCATCTTTGAAGTTAATTTAGTACTTACAGCGACATTAGCTTGTACAAAAAGGGCGCTTTTCATCACAAAAAATGGCTTTTTTGGTCCTTTGAAAAAATTGGGGGGGGGGGTGCCCCCTGTGCCCCCCGGTTCCTACGCTCCTGTCCACCACCAAGTAAAATTGCCATAGACAGCAGAATATTTCCAGCATGATTTCCAAGATTAGGGATTGTATGTTCGCTATGCCAAGTGAAAACCTTCTCTTTACATGTCAGGTTATTGCATATTGTGGTCTCATGCAACAACCACGGTACCAACATTGCGGGCTTCAATCAGGGGATTTTTCAGACTTATGTGACCGACAGAAACCAAACAGTAGAAAGAGCTGTGTCAGAAAACTATGTATTTTGGTTCTGTTCGGATATTTGCATCTATCACCGATAATCTGCAATTGAAAAAAAAATCAGATTAGCTAAACAAAGGAAGTGCTAACCCCTTGTTCTAAATCTTAGTCCTCCTTGTTCTAAAACCTGGAATCACTTTCCTGAGTATCTTGACTAACTTCACTTTCTCTTCAATGGTTTTGTTTGAAAGGTTTTGAAGCAGCTCTTCCAGGCAGTTCACTAATATAATATTATTAAAATGAGCACAACTACACCAATTGTTCCATGCAAAGGCCCATCTCATTTAATACTCCTCACTATGAATGAAGTCAGTAAAAATTAAGTTTCCAAACAAAACTCCACTAAAGAAATTTTTAAATTTTCGCCTTACCGCTCGGAAAAATCGCAGAGATCAAGGGATGTTGACAGATAAACGCATCCATTGGCGGGGAGGAATCCCCGCAAACTCATTGCCAGAGATATGCCAACATTCATAACACATGCATGATCAATATTTCATTCCATGAGCCCATTATTTGGAATGTTGCAAACACTTTTCACCAACACTGTACAAACCCCTACGCTTCATTTTCCTCAATTCCTCTCCTTTTTGTTTTTGTCTTATTTCTACATGTATCAAAGTGACTTGATTTTTTGTTTTTTTGACTTGATTTTTTGTTTCTGTTTTTCATGAACATTGCATTTACGTCCCTGGTCTTGCTGCAATCCATGTCATCAATGTCCATGGGGATATTGGTTTGGATTAACTATTTGTGTTACCGAGCTATACGGAAACATTAGGAAACACATAAACTATAATAAAAGATGTTTACGCTGGGAATTGTACAACTTGTGTAAAACTACTGCCGTGAACTATCATATTTGTTGAATCTGTACGACATTTTTTTAGAAGCTACATTTCACTTACAGGTTCGTCAAAGAAAATTTCTTCAATAGGTGCTGAAATATCTGCTGGGGTCTGAGAATGACTACTTTCATCGACAAGAACACTATTCGAACTCGAAGGCAAATCCCTTGCCATCTTTGAATTCTTTGACGCCTTTGACGTGGGCGGTCACATATTGCTAAACCGAGCTTCCTCGCCAGGTTCCTCGTCAACCAATTGTCTGATAGTCTTATAGGCAAAAAATACTTATTAGACAGGAAAACACATTTACATTGTTTTATACTATTAAAGAAAACATTAGCGAACGATATGAAACGCGATCAAAAGATATTCTAATCAAGGCAGGATTTTCAGATCTGCAAACAAGAAGGGAACAACAACTTGCTACATTATAATGTATAAGATTAAACATAAAATGGTTCCAAACTACCTGCAGGATATTTTCATCAATACACAATTAAGAAGTCCATAATCATAACACTAGGCATAGATAATTTAATTATACATTACCAATGCTAAATCCTAATGCTATGAAAAAATCATTGGGCTACAGAGGTGCGGAGACTTGGAATGCTCTCTGACCTGAAGTCGCTAGGAAGTGTAGCAACTTTTAAGAGTGGGGTAAAACAATATAGATTGATATAATGTTAAGTTATAAAATTCTTTTATACTTATAGTAGTTAGCACACGGCCTATTGGAAGATCACTTTTTCTGGTTGTTTTTGTAAATAATATATTTTAATATACTTTAAAATAGTACCGTGTTTAAATAAAGTTGAAGTTGAAGTTGAAGCTTAAGCGAGCGACGTTTTTGACAACGCGAACGTTGATCGGAAGCAAAATTAACGTTATCAACCAACCAACATTCTTGACCCAGTCCTTTAATTTAACGTTACTCATGCCGTTCGTGTTTTCAAAAACGCCGTTTGCTTAAGCTCACCACATATACGCCCGTATCCTAAAAGCTCACTCACACTCAGTGAGTGGCAGGGGCGGATCCAGACCGATGCCAACGATGCGAATGCATCGGTCAAAATTGAGAAATCATGTTCCTTGAAATAATATATAAACATATTATGGTGTCGTCAATAGTTAAGCACTCAGTACTAATAGAATATATTTGAATCTCTCCAGCTATCAAACCGCAAATCTTTGCTTAAAATTGACTCCATGTCAGGAATACACTATTCAAATTGGCCAAACACGCCGCGGAAGCTGATTAACTCATTAGTTGGGAAGCTGATTAACTCATTTGAGTAATTAACGTTGTTTTATGAATAACTAATGATGTACAATGCATAAAACCCTAGTTTACAGGTTGTAACTGCTCTTTCTGTGCTGATCGCCAAGACAGAAAAAGTGCAAGATAAAGAAATTAGGACCGGAGAAGGGGGGGTGGGGGGCGGCGAGAAAGAGGGGGCAGCGTCAGGGTGTTGTTTACTCTTGTGTGTTGTAAAAACGCCCACCCTCCCACCCTTGTGTTTCCCATCCTTGTGGCTTTCTGCTGCGGATCCATTTCCGTGTTTCATTTGGAAACAATGGACCTTCCTTTTCCCCAATGCTTAATCAGTGATCCGTGGCGGAATGGCCATTTGGATATTTTACTATTTAGGATGAAAATGGTTTTAAAAGAATATTACGGCAAGGTTTTGCCTAACAGTCGGGATAGTTTTCGCTAAATTGTCCGTGAATTTGTTTGACACAGCAAAATAATAAAAGAATCCTATCTATCAAGTTAAATACAACAATTTGTGCTTTTTTCGTTTTCTGGGGACGATTTTTTCAATATCTCGTCGATTTTGAAAAGTATTATTTACTAGTCAGGTGGTATATAATGCGTCAGATTTACTAGTCAACTAGCCAATCAGAACGCGCGAAAGCTCATTTGATCTGCAAAATTTATACTAATTTGCTGGTATTAAACAAGGCGTTTCGGAACGCTGACTTATAAAAGATGTATTGGACATGTAATTAATGACACGTTGAATTGAATTTGAATTACCCTCTTCAGCTACCAAGACCGACACAATCTGCGTCATTGGTATTGTCAACGTCAAAGTTGTTGGCAGTATTGAGAATGGAGAACGTATTTATGCCTCAACGGATCGTCCAGGGAAAGCGATACCACAATCACATATGCCTGTAGGTTCTTTCCTGCGTAAAAAGCATGCACTGCTTGGTATGGCTTTGGAAACCAAGAAATCCAAGACACTTGACGATGTTCATTTAGTAAAATGTTTTGTGTGCATAGTACTTGATGTAAGCAGAAAGGAACTGCTAGAAGAGATCGAAGATCTTTACCAAGTTAATGAGGAAAGAACAGCGCAACAAATTAAAATCGCCAACAAAAAGACGTGGAGAAGTAAGTTTTTTTTGTTTTTTGTTTTTTTTTTACAAACTTAGTCATAAATGACGGGTAAACCCTACAGAGCCTATTGTTCCATTTACAGGGTTCCTAAAAACACAATTTAGTTTTTGTTTAATTTTGTTCTTGTTTCAATTTAGTTCTTGTTTCGATTACGTTCTTGTTCATCATGCACGCAGTTCAATAGGATTTAATATTAAGGACACGGAATGTATATACGTTCATGCTGCTGACTCACCTGACGAACACTCTTACTTGAAACGTCAGAATGTAATTAATAATCGTATTCACTATCAGTTATCCTTCATCTTTTTCATGAAGGTTAAATCGTCAAAGGAAATTAGTTAAAGAAAATTAATTTTTTGACCGAAACATGAAATGTTCTATGTTGGTAGATTAGTTGCTTAGCAATCTCGTTCCACGAGCATGCCCGTTCGCAGGTTAAGGGTAGGCATAGCTCTAGAGAAATCGAATTGATTCACGTTGGACCCTAACGTGAGTTGTACACATGCTCGGCAATTGCTGCGAAATATAAACAAAGTATTTAGAATTTGTCGTTGAAAATTTGATATTTTTACACTGAAATTGATTGAAAAAAACTAAAAATTCTTGGGTAATACAACTACCTGGAAAATACAAGGGAACTTTGATGTTTCGAGCGAAGTCCCTTCGATTTGTACTACTAGTGTTTGTATACATCATACTTGCGACCTTTACTATTGGTAAATATAATCTCCTCAAGAATGAAAGAATGAAAGAATGTTGGCTATGAAGTGTGGACCTATATTCTATAAACATAGGTAATAGGTACACTATAACTTGTGACAGGAAAGTATAAATTTAAAGCACATATTTTGTACATGTATATGAGTGCAACGTCAATAATCTAATGTCAAGGAAATTTAAACCTTTGGAATTCCCGTTTTAAACACATCAACCGCAGGTCAACACTTCACATTCTCTTATTCTTGAGGGTATTATCCTTATCAGTAAAGGTCAAGTAGGATGTATACAAACACTATTAGTACAAGTCGATGCGCCTTCGCTCGAAACGTCGAGGTTCTTGTATTTTTTGTCGAAGTTCTCCTTGTATTTTTCGGGTAGTTGTATCCCTATCAATCCGAAGCTTTCGTACATATTTACCCCAGAATTTTTAGTTGCTTTCAATCGATTTCAGTGTAAAAAGTATCAAATTTTTGACGCGAAATTCTAAATACTTTGTTTATATATTGCAACAATTGCCGAGCATGCGTACAACTCACATTCGAAGTCCAACGTGAATCATTTCGATTTCTCCATAGCTATGGCCACCCTTAACCTACAAATGGGCATGCTCGGGGAACGAGATTGGTTGCTTATATATGGTGGATTGTCAGGCTAGTTCAGCTAGGGGTTGGAAACGAAATAATGAACAATATTATCACATCGGTAATTTTTTTGTTTCACTTTTTTGTGGGAAATGTCGGAATGACATCGTCGAATGACAGAATGATTCTCAAAAGTATTAAAGAATAATGAATACGTAAAAAACTTAATGCATATTTACAAAAGTACGCAATGAATGATCAACAATTTGGCAATGTTTTGACAGTTCCACGTTTGAACATGTACCTGATTATTTCGTTAGTCAATTGATGATTTGGTGATTCAGTTGATACTGTAGGTTAAGAACTTCATAACTATAGCTAGAGCAGTCGGTCATTAACTTTGAGTACGAATTAATACAGTTAATTATCTAAGTTAAGTATATTATCGTGATTTACACTTTTGTTTCAGGGCTGAAAGGCTGCGCGCTGTCGACACTCATTATTATTGGAGTTATTATATTTATCCTGTATCAATGGTTAGTTCCGGGATCAATGTTCCAATATTGGCTTTGTAGACAGGGATCTATCCCGGATCATCATCTCTACTATACGTATGTTGATACGAACAATGGCAGGGTAGGTAATAAATGTTTATTGATATATAGCTAGAGTGATCACCAAACGTGATAGGCTGAAATGTGGTCACGTGGTGTTACATATTTGTATTATATTCCGCCAGGCAACAGGTCCAAATTAGACCTTTCTGTTAATTACCTCACGACTAACACTGTTTTCAATGAAAGTGGTCTTATACAAAAATGTTTTCCTAAAAAAGGTCCAAAACAAAAATCTAACTACACAGTGTTGTTGAAGGTGAATCATGAAAATATACTTTTTTAGTGAACTGTTTCCATAGTAACCAATATATGGCGTGAGAATTAATTATAGAAGTCTAAAATGTGAAGTCTAGGTGAGAATTAATGATAGAAGTCTAAAATATTGCCTTAATGCATACTGAACAACTATTATCAGAATTTATCCTACCAAACACAAAAAATATTACCAGAATTATGGGACAAGATGGCGACGGACATGCGCACTTTGACCAAATATGGCGACCAAATATTACTATAAACTATATGGGAGTTGATCAAAATATCAAATTTTAGTATACTTTGTTTAAATATTTCATTGGTGCGGAGCTCGATTATAGTAGCGATACGAACAAGCAATATTTCTAAACAAAATTCGCTAGTATTGCATCGCGTCTAGCAGGTTTCTGAGAATGTTGTATTTTTACACGCAATTCGATGAATTTCATAGTGTAATTTATAGTAAACTTGGGACACAAGAGGTAAATATCGGACGAATAGACCAACATCCATTCGGACGATGCGAAGTGCGGAGCTCGCGACATATTTAATGATGTCCAAATTGTTAATTCAGCTAAATAAATCCGCTGCAATTGCCAGGGAAACTAGTTCCCGAAACGTGTAAAAGTTCGCCTTTTTACGGTTCTTGTATGCCGCCATTAAGCCATCTTAATATCCAAAAACGACAAGTTTTAACACAAATTTGAGCTGTTTCGAGCAGCCATGTTTCTTGTTTATTTTGAAGGACTAGATCTCAGGCTCTCACGTAAAAACATACTTATTAGGTATATTTTAGGATTTTTTAGGATATTTGCAATATTTTTAGTCTTGATAAAAATTTGCGGGGTTAAAGGTCAAAGTACAGGAAGTGATCAGCAAAAACTGCAAAATATAGTTTAACTGAATCACAGTTTTTGGTTGAATAATACTTGAACTGGAGATTCAAAGTAAAATGCGAAGTCGTATGACTTATATTAGGCAATGTTGGGCATATAAAACGGACTTAGCCGCTGACTACAAAAGCGGGAGCAAAATGTCCCATATTTCTGGTAATGATGCGGAAACATGCATCACTGAAACAGTGATAATTACTTGAAAATGCAGCAGAACTCAATTATTCTAGTTCATTATATTCCCTGGAACATGATATGTAACAGCAACTTTGAAAATTTGATCAGGATACCTTTAATAGCTTTTGAGATATCATGCATGAAAATTGAGCAATCGTGCCATTTTTACAAATTGAGAAAAACAGCTTTAAAGTTTACAGTTTAAGTTATATCAGCAGTGAAAGCTAATACAAAGCAGTAAATGACAGTTTTACTTTTTAAAACAATCCTGCCTTATAGGTGGTGCCTTCCTGCTATCACTATCAACAAAATACCCTGTATATTGTAATTTGTGTGTCCCTTCACTACATTCAAATATTTGCTTCACTCCTTCGGTCTCCATTGACGGTGCTGAAACTGTATTGTTTACCTTGTATTTTCTTATATGGTCAGCTTTGCGCAATGCCTTTTTTCAACATATATCTGTCTCTCTATCAATCCTTTGGCAGGCATGACATACCTTACACAAAATCTCGACATCAAGGCATTTACCCGTTTCCATTGAAATGGTAGTAACTAGACCATTTAATGACGAATATCCCCGCCTTTGCCAAGTTCCGTAAAAGTAAACACCGCACTGGAGAACTTCGTCATCACTGTTATTCTCATGGTGTAACTCCTTACGAGCATTCCCCATCACATCAGTAGCCGCTACAGTCTTGGCTGCTTTCAACAACTAAGATATCATTACAAGCTAAATAAGCAGAATTAGGTTTCGGTGATGGGGGAATATTCATTAGGGAACAGAAATTAACGTCTCACAGAAGCTTCTCCTTGTCCAATGACAATCCGTTCTCATTGTATAAACAAGTCTTCTGTTTACATAAAAATTTTTTTTCACTTTTTTATGTAAAAAGGTATATACCCATGCAGCTTCATTTATCACAACACAGCCGAAGATGCGAAGCACAACCTATTCTTTCCCGACCATCATCTTTAAGACTAGATCCACATAACTTACATGACACTTACTGGAAAAGTTCATTCAGTGTTTCCATATCAATGAAACGATAAGCAGTTATTTGAGGCTCTTCTTCTTTGGAATTGCTACTGGTAGCATCAAAGCTAAAATACTGGCCAATTTTTCTCGCTGAAGCAGACAGATTAGCAACCGACTCACTAGAAACTCACTGGTTGCTCAATACTGTCAACACAAGTTTACTCTGCATCAATTACATGCCGATTCCCATGGAATTTTCTCTTTCCCCTCCACAATCCTTCCCTTACTATTGTAAAAGACGATTAATTAGTCCAGAAAGAGAAGTAAATTCGGCGAAAAACCACAAACACTGCGACCAAAATTTATTAAAAAATTTCACTTTTTCGACACAAATATGGCTTTGAAATTTGGTTTGAAAAATAACGAAGACTGACCAGCGGTAGCAAAGCTAACATGGGAATACTTCAATACAGTATACCTGAAAGGGAGGGGTAAAACTGATCTAAATATAAATTATTGAAACCCTAGAACGCTTTCAAAGAGGCAAACATCTGGTTGCTATGGGCGTTGCTAAGTGCAAATTTATCGAATTTGCTAAATTTTCAGGGTTTTTGTAGGTATGTTGAACAATAAAATGATACAAATATGATTAGGAAGGGTTTAAAGTTTGTATTTTTTCCATTCTTGAAAAAGGCAAATTTCACTGAAAACACTACTTTGCGTTGTGTAAGACCACCTTATATGGAATGGATTTCAAGTTTGTTTCTCAAGGGCTATGGCCAAAGAAGCAGAATATCCTTCTTCAACACATGCATACAAATAATTTTGGATTTTGACTATTAAATGTGCGAATAAGCTTAAACATGACAACGAGGCTGACGGGCCAGAGGTCCCTCAGCCTCGTTTTCGTGTTTTATCTTGTTTGTATATTCATTGGTCAAAATCCAAAATTCTTTTCTATGCATGTGTCGAAGAAGGATGTTCTGCTCCTCTGACCATAGCCCTTGAGAAACAAATTTAAAATCCATTCTATTTAAGGTGGTCCTAATTTGAAAACAGTGTTAGTGGTTACGTAATTACCGGAAAGCCATATTGTTGTCGGCTCTGACAGGCTGCTCTGAACACTCTCAGAATTTAAATTTAATTTTGACTATTTCTAAATCTACTGGATGTGATAAAATACCATCTAAAATTCTAAAATATTCTGCTTCTGCTATTACACCATTATTATTATTATTATTATTATTATTATTATTATTATTATTATTATTATTATTATTATTATTATTATTATTATTATTATTATCTATATCCTTGAACTTTCTGTTGGCTATGAGTCTAATCTACAAACAAATGTTGATCGGAAAAGAAGAAGATACGAAGATCTCATTACACAGCAAAAGAAACAATTTAAATCCGTAAAATTTGTAAATTTGTCAATTAGTTCTTTAGGCGTTTTCTCAAAAGAATGTCATTCCTTTTTAGATATGTTAACTGATCTAGGTCTTGATAAAAGACACCAATATTTCGCTATCAGGAAAATTATGTCTATCGCGATTAGGACAACATATTATATATTTTGTTGCAGAGATAAGGACTGGTTAAATCCGGAATTACTGAACATTTAAGGATACTCATTATTAATATATAAATATTAAGTAGGTTCAAGTAGTCAATTATAAATTACCTAAATTAGTGAGATTTATAATTGTATATATACGTATATAATTTTAAATTAATAAAGTTTCCATTATTATTATTATTATTATTATTATTATTATTATTATTATTATTACATTAAGTAATATTTATCTAACCCATAACAAATTCGGTCTGAATATCCTCCCTGCATCCGTCAAATTTATCCAATGTCAAACTGTCCTGCGCAACGCCTTAAAAACATCCCCAAATGATTCCATAAAAGAACTCTGGAAATCAACTAACAATCACACTAATATTCAGTACGACATATATAATTTAACAAAGGAAGTTCTCAAGGATTTTCATTCTGGACAAGAAGATAAGCTTCAACACCGTCTAATTTGTCAAGGTTCATTTTTCTCGAATGTTGCAAAGTTTTCCTTTTCACAGTTAAACACACTTTGGTCTGCCGCTCAATCAAAACTGCCAAAGAACATTTTCAACTTCACCGTCCGTTACATAAATAACTCTCTTCCTACGCGAAAAAACCTTACAAGATGGGGTTTAGCTTCAAGTCGCGAATGTTACTTTTGTTTGTGTCCTGAAACCCTACTACACGTGGTAGCCGGCTGCCAATCGTACCTTCAGCGCTTTACTTGGAGACATGATTCTATTTTAAACTTTCTTGCTGAAACGTTTCAAACAACAAATCCATGTCAACTTTATGCTGACCTATCCGGACACAAAAGCCCGTCAATTATAACTGGTGACCTATATCGACCGGACTTACTCCTAATTACCCCAAATGAAGATCTTTATGTCCTTGAACTTACTGTCGGGTTTGAATCTAATCTACATAATAACGTTAAACGCAAAAAAGCAAAATACAAAGATCTAATTGAAGATCAAAGGGGTCACTTTAATTCTGTTAAATTTGTAAACCTATCAATGAGCTCTCTCGGTGTGTTTGACAAAGAATGCTTCACCTTTTTAGAAATGTTAGACACTATAGGAATGGATAAAAAGCAGCAACATTATTGCATAAAAAAGATGACGTCTTATGCCATTAGAGCGACGTACTATATTTTTTGCTGTCGAAACAAAGAGTGGACAAACCCTGAATTGTTAAACATTTAAATTAATAACTACATATAACAATATATATAATCATATACCCATTTTATTCTTGTTTTTACTGCAAATAGTACATATGTAGTACTCTGTGATTCATGTAGCCAATTGTAAATTACCTAAGTCAGTAGTGAGATTTACAATTGTATATATATACGTAAAAAATTCAATAAAGTTTCCATTATTATTATTATTATTATTATTATTATTATTATTATTTCAATAACACACTTCCAACACGAAAGAACCTATCAAAATGGGGACTATCATCAACATCCGATTGCTCTTTCTGCTCCTCACCTGAAACGCTGCTCCATGTGATTGCTGGATGTAAGACATATTTAGACGAAGGCCGGTTTACATGGCGACACGATTCTGTTTTAAATTTCCTCGCATCCACTCTTACTGCTGTGAAAAATTCCACACTTTACGCGGACATTCCTGGTTTTATGAATCCATCTGTTATCACGGGAGATCGTTTACGACCTGACCTTCTGCTGGTGACTGAAAACAGATGCCTATACATCCTCGAGCTTACAGTCGGTTATGAATCCAATCTGCTAGTTAACGCCAATCGTAAGCGTCAAAAGTACCGTGATCTAATCAATGAGCAGGAAGCAGATTATGATAAAGTCAAGTTCGTCAATTTATCCTTGAGTACCCTCGGAGTTTTTGGCCGATCTTGTGAAAATTTCGATGGCATGCTAAGTAGTCTTAAATGTGATGCCAAGTATAGTAAATACATAAAAAAGCAAATCGTGAACATATGCATACGAACATCATATTATGTATTTTGTAAACGAAACAAGGTGTGGGATAACCCAAAATTAATGTTAATATAATCCTTCTTAAAATAATTATTGTACAATAAATATATAGTATCAATTCAAGTAGACATTGATAAACTACCTGTAAAGCGAGGTTTATCATTGTAGTTGTATATATCCTAATAATCAATAAATAAAGTTTCCATTATTATTAAAACTTTATTTATACAGGATAAAAACTTTATTCAGTATAACTAAATACTGCTATCACTAAGGGTCCTGTAACTAATACTAAGTTTATAAATCTATAGATAAAAATATGCTAATATGCTATACATACAATACTAAACACACAATCAAACTTAATGTGTAAAAACTGTTCATTTGCTTAAAGAGCACTTTTAAAATGTACAATGGAGTTTATCTGGCAAACATGTAAAGGCAGTTTATTAAAAGCCATAGCTCCTTGGAAATAAAACCCTTTCCTGGCAACTTCCAATTTGAGTTTCGGTAGTCGCAGACAATAATCGTTATTACGAGTATTTTGTTGATGACTCATAATGAAACCAATCTGTTGAACTCTTCTATTGACATGGGAATTTTTCCCGTGTGAATGGGAAATTACTAGAGTTGTGCCGCTTCTTAAGAAGGAATCGCGCACCGTTTTAGACAATTACAGGCCAATATCAATTTTGCCGGTTGTTAGTAAAATATTTGAAAAGATCTTGTATGAGCAGTTATACGAATATTTTACCACCAATAATTTATTGTCTGAACATGCAGTAGTTTGGGTTCAGGCGCTTTCCTTCTACATCTACTGCATTGCTAGATTGTACTGATGAGTGGTATGTTAATATGGATCGTGGTTTATATAACCTTGCCGTTTTTCTCGATTTAAGAAAAGCATTTGACACGGTAAACTACGACATATTACTGGCCAAACTCGAGTTATCCCCGAGCCGGCGGCGCGAAGCGCCGTGCGAGGGTACTAATTCCCCCCGGCTATTTACACCCGGGGAAACGAAAGCATTAGCGGAGTCTAAAGTTCATCAATGAGCGCGGGCGTCGGTCACCAACGATGGGTGGTCATCCTCACTGATCTCAAAAATATGGCGGATTGTCATGAATAACGGACACTGATTGGTCCAATTTAAAGTTTGCATTATAACGACTGCATGACGACAGCGAAATAGCAAACATTTCTTGATTTGATGATTGATAAATTTCTTGCAATATAATATCTTGAAATTTCTTCATTTTTGCTCGTATTTCTGCAAGATTTTGTAAATTTCAAGAAAGAAAGGGCGAAAGAATCGGCTAAAAGAAGGGAGCCGACGTTAACGAAGGTAATTAAGTTTGTTTTAAATATTGATTTTATAATGGCTTTAAAACCCGACGGCGTTTGCGTATATGAAACTGACAACTAAACAAGACAGCATATAAATTTCAGTCTAACTTTAATATTGATTCCCTTTTTTATTATGTTGAATTTTTTAAATAAAAAATAAAGCAAAGACCAAAGTTATTTCCAAGCGAGAATTTGAAATCATTTTATTGCAAACTCAAAGTTTATCGATAAAGCCATTTAATAGTTAAAGGCAGTTTAGTTTTATAAAGAACACTTTAAAACGTTTTGTGAATTGTTTGTGGTTGAATTTTACCTTAAATTGAAGCTTGTATTACGTATAATTACATACCTAACATATATATGCTGGGAAATTGATAATTTTGTAATTAAAAGTGATATTTTTAGGCAATTTTCATTTGTAAGAATATTCTTAAAAAATTATCGTGTTACCATGACAACTACTCTAGATACTTCCTGTTCGGAAAATCATAGGGAAAATACAACGGTTTTGTCAGCAAGGCGAGGGTTTCTGCATGCATGTATTTTCTAGTATGGTATCAAGAATACGCCTCTTATGCTTTTCAAATCTTACTTATCAGATCGATCACAGCAATGTCTAATCTGCGAACCCAGGCGTCATTTCCGACGCTTATTCGTCGCTAGGATTGGATTTCCGTGACGTATGTCTATTCGGTCTATGTTAGCAAATTAAAACATATGTTACATTGCATGAGAGCACGCGTTGATGTGCGCGAGCGCTTGTATATCGCGTGTAGGGCCACACGAACGGAGCCGCGTTTTTTATTATAAAAATATAAATTAATATACTTGTAGTTTTGTTCTGAAAATATGAACGAAACTTCGAAAAAGTATACCCAGCATGACAATGTGTATTACAGAAGACACCTCTCAGTTGGAAAATATGATGTGTGTTTTGGAAAATATAATTGTTTTATAAGTTATTTGAATATGTTGAATATTTTGTCTATATGTAGGCCTATGTCGATCATAAAAAAGTCGCATAGGATGTTATCAATAAAAATATGGTGGGGAAAATTACTATGATATATCATACTGGAGTTTCAAAGTGTTGTTCTCGCTCCAACAGCCAGACTATAAACTTCACAGCTCGTTCGAAAGATTGTGACTTGAACTATATAGTCTGCGAAGAATATAATTTTCTACGCATTTCATTCATTAGTGCGTTATTAAAATACTGTATCAATGAACGTGCAGACATGGACAAATTCATGTAATCCTTTATGTGTCAGTCCTTCTATTCTGTTGCAATTGCAGTTCATTATTAAAAGTAAGGCCGGTGTCACAGGAGATTCGCCCCCCCCAGGAGATTCGCCCCCCCCTCTCAAAAGGGGGGCGATATTCCTAGGATATTTGCCCCCCCGGGGCGAATCTCCTAGGAATATCGCCCCCCTGGGGGGCGAATCTCCTAGGAATATCGCCCCCCTTTAGGAATTTCGCCCCCCCCATATAAATTTTGAATTTTTGATCTAAAAACAAAACGATTGCAAGTTGAAAAGATTTATTGTGTGATTTATTTATTTATTACAAGGAGACAAAATTACATTCACCGTTTTAGGCTTCTTAGCAGCTGCTGGTGTGCGCAGTCTGCATAACCGAGTAATTTGAGGTTATACTTAGACTAGTGTCATATTCTACACATCTAAAGTGGAACCATCACAGAGATCGCATAAAATCATGTTGTCGTCAGTGGCGTAACGTTATATCTGGGGGCCCCCGGTTCAAAATTTTCGAAAGCCCTCCCCCATAGTAGAAATGCCGAATGCACGAAGTTGAGCGCCGTATATGCACGAGTTTTCCGGAAAATTTTTGAATCTAGACTCTCTGAAATGCCATTTCCCGGACTTTGGGGAGAGATTTTACAGAATTCTGATGGTCAGAAAACGACATTGTAACATATCAGAAGCCCTGGCCAATGTATTTGCTCTACAGCCTGAGCCTGGGGGGCGCCCATTTGGCCCACTACACAAACATAAATACTTCGCAGTCTAGACCGAATTTAAAAAAATCCCCCCAAGGAAATTAAAGAAGAAAGCATGCTTTATCAGAATTTCTCAGTTTTGGAGTAAAAAGTTTAATATCGAATGTTGATGTCACGGAGGGCGTAGAACAAGGTTTTCTTACTCCTTTTGTTTATGTTTCGAATTTCAGGCATTCTGATTGGTCAAGGACGCAAAATGTAAACAAACACGCTGATTGGCTAACATTATTTACTCTTGTTCATTGTAACATATCAGAGGCCCTGGCCAATGTATTTGCTCTACAGCCTGAGCCTGGGGGCCCCCATTAGGGTTGGGGGCCCCCGGGTTCTCCCGGTCTGAGCCCATAGTAGTTACTCCACTGGTTGTCGTATTCTTCTGGCAGTTTACATTCACATAACATATTATAAAAACAATCGCTTGCAAATTTTATCAATACGAGTGTTAACAATAGCCGCCACAGTAATCACTTGCTAACAATAAACTATAGGATTAGTAAAAAATCCATGGAATGTGCTGGGAAGCGTATTGACTATATTGTCCGTTGAATCGTCAACTTTCTGTGTCAGTGATGTAATCTTGATTCTTCACTTCCGCAAAGAAAATTACATTGTATATGTGGTGTGGTTTATTCAAATCATTTCATGATACTTTGATTTTATTAGTGCATGCCTTAAACATTTGAGAATGTAACTCTGCAAAACTAAAAGCTTTCTTGTCTTTTTTGCTTTTTTGAAACGTATATTATTGGATTATTGCCTATTGGCAAGTTCTACCCTTCGCTTCTGAGATTTACAAACTATATTGAAATAATGCAAGTAAAAAATAGTGACAAACCATACATTTTCCGATAACGACAAAACGTGGATGCAAAACAATACCAATAATTACAATAACCACCACGGTGATTACTTTTTAACAATGAGTTTAAGGATTAACACTGAAATGCAAAATATGCATGGTGTGCTGTGAAGCGTCATAAGTCCTATTGATCTACTGTAACTGTGTAAGCCCTTTCGATACATGTAATTGTAAATTTGTATTCTTACATGCAGGGCTTGAAATAATAAACGTTCCCAAAGTTCCCGATCATGGTGATCGGCAGTCATGACTTTCCCTGCTTTTTTTCAGGTTGGAAACCGAAACCCTGCTTTTCCGCCGATCATAAGCAATTCCATGCCGATCATTGATCGGTGATCGGTTGTTATTTCAAGCTCTGTCTTAACAATTTTGAATTGATACTGATTTCAAATGATTAAAGCCATGTAATAATTATCCCATGCAACTGTTAGGAAGGGCGAAATTTTGAACGGAGGACGAAAATCCTAAAGAAAAGGTGAAGTTTCTAAAGGGGGGCGAATTTCCTAAAGGGGGGCGAAATTCCTAGGATTTTCGCCCCCCTGGGGGGGCGATATTCCTAGGAATTTCGCCCCCCGGGAGGCGAAAATTTAGGGGGGGCGAAAATCCTGGGACACCTGTCTAAATAATATATAGGACACCTTGTTTTTGTCTATATCGCTCTGCAGCAAGATTATACGCCAACAATCAATAATTGCATGCACTCTTTGCATTGGGAACAGCCTGGTCCTGAACTTGTTGTAAAACCTGTCACGGAATTCTTAATCTGATAGTTGAAGATCCTTGCGAAACTAATCGCAAATTAAATATATACAGTT